TCGAAAATTATGCTAAATATAATAGTTTCGGTAGTCTTAAAAATAAAATTTAACATTTTAACTCCTCAGTAATCAGTTCACATCCTCTTTAGCATCGCGTACTAAATGCGCAAGTTAACACCTATTGTTTCCGTCGAGTACTCTTTCCATTCACTTCACCTAACGAGCCCATTGACTGTTTCTAGGAACTACATCGATTGTTTAGTTCTCAGGACGGTACCTTTGGCCACTGCAACTTGGAATATCTCCATCGAAGTACTTCTTCGAAACAGTACTATAAAATTTACTGCCTAAATATTGAGGAAAATTACGGTGGAAACCTACAGTGAAGATGTTAAGGCATTTTGTATATACCGCAAGTCTATAATTTCATTCAACGATGCAACTAAGATTTATAAGCTCCATGGTATGGTGAACACAGACATTAATAGTTGCATGAAATCACACACGAGTCACAGTCCAAGTGCTCGTCATGGGAAAACGCTTCTTTTCAGATTACATGCTTCATAAAAATATACAATAAAAATAAACATGTATGTTGACCGTTCCACAGGTTGAACAAAGAATCCTCGTGGGAAGTGAAGATATTACGGATATAATAAAAAATTAGCTCAGACTTATCTCTACATCTTAAGTGACAATTTGTCTTTATGCATAAAATCTTTCAAAACGAAGTCGCTCGTTATTAAGATTTATATTAATGAGCATGTAATAATACCTACGTTGATTATTTACACCTACGCTACAAGAAATCAATGGAACAAAAACTTAATAATCATTTAAAGACAAACGGACCTGTTCATTAGCAGAGCAAAAAAGTTAAAAAAAGAACTTGAATGTCCACTAACAGGACACAAAAACAATTTAAGAACGTGATTTTATAAACGCAAACTATAGTACACTCGAAGAAAACGTTCCAGACACGCTCATTAGTAATTTAGATTGTAACATATCAAAAAACAATAACATCCGTGATATTGAACAGCGCAACATTAATTCATGGCAATAATTTAAACGACGGCCTGTAAGGAGTCGTGACTGAAGATGGAAAGAAGACAAAACTCGGCAGGGGGTGATATGCCAACATTTAATTGGACAAGCAACCTTTTAAGGCAGATTTCTTTAAAGCAACAGACTCACGATCTCGGCTGTCGTCGAGTGATGTCGCGACACAGGAAGCCGGGGCAAGGGGCGCGGGGCACGCTACACGATATCCCTTTTACGCGGACCAATTAACGGACCCTGTCGGACCGGATGTGCGTATACACATGCATTAGCACCTCCACCCTTCACTAATCTTTTGAATGGGAAGTAAAATAAAAAAGAGGCTTGGGAAACTATATAGCAGCGCGAAATCTGAGGTGTTAAGAACATAATATCACCATCAGTAATATCATCACATACATATCAAAATACGTGACTTCATTGACCGGATTTCACACCACAGGTAATCGTCCTTGGTTGAGCTACTTAACTCCTGAGCCGCCAATGGTACAGGACAATGAAACTTGCTAAGCATACATTACATCCATAAGTGGAAGACAGGAGAGTAATTGTATTCATTGCACGTCCCATATGGGCACCGTGTGCTCCAAACAGACGGAACGTTTCCTAATGAGAGCTCTATTTATTTTCGGAGCGTAATTGCCCAGTCGCCAAAACTGTCTATTTCCAGCTGGAATAAATCCACGTGCCCAAACTCCAACATTGTTATGAATTTAAAATAGGTTAAAAGCTGCGAATCTACGTTACATACGTTTGGTATAAAATATAAAAACATTACGTATTTTGGTAGTAGTAATGGGCAAAACATGTACATAGTAAAGACATGCAATACTTATAATTAGCGAAAAAAATACTACTTGTATCTACATTTATTTTTTGACTTTATTTTCTTTCAAAGGTAATAAATAACAGGATAGATTCCTACGTTTAAAGTAAATAATTTTGTCCTGATTTGTCCTCCATTATCAAATTAATATTTTTATTGTTTTGATATCTTAAAGTCAGCATTAAATAATCACGTCACGCAATAGCAATTCATACAAAAATGAACCGTGTCTATCGTTTATTCAAAAGATACTGATTTGGCTTGACAGCCATCTAGTCCATTTTTAAGTAAATGTGATCTTATTAATGACGTATTACTATCATTGGATATTATACAATTTATAACCATGTAGTCCAATTATAATAAAAGTAAATAATGTGGATTAGGTTTAAAAATCTCTAACAAACTGATCTGGTTCAAATATTATAAGAAAGGAAATACCGTGTGCTATTATTAGATGTTTCTTAAGAGAAAGCGGAAATGAAGCCCGTGCCGCCAATTACACAGCAAGGTATGGCAGGCGTATGCTACTTCCGTTTTTGTACCAAGAACCACCCTCTGCCGAGGGTTGTTTCAAACGGAACTAAAATGTATAAGTACATTGAAACGCTTTTGTTTCTCTCTCACAATTAAGAACATTTTTAATTTAAGTTCTTAGCAATTTGAGTAAAAGAAAATTACGGTAATACATTGAAGGATTTAGAAAAACATGAGAATAAAGAACAGTAGCCAAAGATAATTGTACCACAGTAGTAACTGTGGTATAATTATCATCATGCTATTGGAATTTTCTGATATTGTTTAAAATAACTGGCGTCTATAGTTTAAAGCAGAACAATTTCTTTGAGAGGCTTAGAGCGATGGTGCGCGAGCGCAACGATCGCAAGCTCATAGCCCATTACCGGCCGATCGTATAAACTTCGAACATAATTTATCGTTTCCTCTCTGTGTTTTTCACTCGGCAACAATGCTCAGTTCTCCAAGTGTGAAGTTAATAGCTTTACGACGTGTCGAGATGTAATTTGCTTTGACTTGTTTGAGAATCAACCAGATATATGATAGATAACACATAGTATGAGGATAATACCTAGAGTTGTGCGATTAAATATCACTGAGCAATTTTTTAAGGCATAGGGGACAAACCAGCAGACATGGCACCTGATGGAAAGTGACTATAGAGGTCCATAGACAACTCATGAGATTCAAGTGTTGTGACCCCAGAATTAAGAGGATGGCAACCAAAAAGCTGCTTAACATCGCCTTTCTGTAAGGCCGTAATCACTCCAAAAGCCGCAGGACATTCATTATAAAACTCCCGGAGTCAATTTTATGAATAATGAATGACAAATTTTCAACAGTGATACGTAATTAAAAGTCCAATCACCAGCCAAGAGTAGGGCAAACAGCGGGACCTCAAACAGTTTTCTTTGCCGAGCTTGTGGCGTGAGAAATTGTCTCACAGTTTCTCTGACTTACTTGTCACAATACAACACTTAACTAATGGCAGTTAGAATTTCTAACCGCCATTAGTTAAGTGTTGTATTGTTACAGCAATCCTAACTTAGAATAGCCGTTGAAACATCTTGAGAATCATTAGTAGCATACAATGACAGTGACGACACCACAAAGTTTTATGAAATCTTTGCAAAAAAAGAACTTATTATATATTTGGCTAAACGGACAGACTACAGTTACGTTTATTATAAACATTTTGTTTCTAGATTTTTATAAAAACTGATTTCTTGAAGCCTTAAAGCACTTAAATTATTTATACCAACAACTAAAAAAGCGATTAATATAATATATAGTTGCTCAACGGAGTTTTTAATGATAACTGCTCTTAACCTAAGGGTTGTACGTGATGATTCTTAATATCCCTGAATGAATAATCTTTGCAATACAAAAACTTTTCAAATCAAACTAATAGTTCCAGATACTAGCGTGTTTAAGAAGTGAGATTGTTCTAATTTTAAGGGAATATCAGTTTATATTAAAAACTAGCTTGTGCCCGCGACTTGGTTCGCGTGGAATTTGAAAAGCGTTTCCTTAGCGGGTTCAATTCCCGGACCGGGCAAAATTTTGAAGGGGTTTTCTGAGAGGGAAATAGCCTAAGTTACTCCTTATATAGACAGCTACCTGGTAGTAAAATATTATCAAAATCGGTCATGCCGTTTAAAAGATTACCCTGAACAAACAGACAGACAAGTGTGAGCCTGAATAAAGCCTATAATTTTGACATTATAAACAGATACTTTATTTTTATTTATTTGTATAGATAGACTAATTAAAGTTCGTAAAAAGTGAACAATCCACATTTCAAAACATTTCAAGGGTATCCTATTCCTATGCTAGGTTTTAATATTTCTCATTCAACCTGACAAGCGATTAAGTGTATTCTCGTCATAACATAAATGTGGTACAATGAGTACTGTTTATGAAAGTTTATTTGCGGCATAATACAAAACTGATGGTGAGGAGTGAAGAGGATGTGTCGATTTAATTTACTATAAACATAACGAGAGCTTTCAGAGCTGTTCGTTAACGTTACTGGTTTAAACTTACATTGCACAATTAATGACGAAATAAAAACCATAATTAAATTAACTTTTAATCTTTATCTGTGGTTCTTGTAGCATTGAATTATTTAACACCAGTTCTCCTAGAACAGGCTAACAAAAAGAAAATGCCGACGACGGTTAATTATGCCACAACATGCACTGTAAAAATTCTTGTCACAGATAAGACACTTCATAATCCTCAGATAACAGTCGGCCGTCGATCAACTTCCTGTTCAATTGAGACTTAATTACGGAGTTGATCTCGCTGCCATAATAACGTAAGACTGTCTGCTTTGATATATAAACTGGATGGACCTTAGGTAATAAGAACTTTTCACATGCAGGTTATAAGCAATGAGTTAAAAACACATGTAGCAAATACTTCCATGATGGGATGAAATGAAGGGGTGTACAGAGTGAGGCGTGTCAATTTAATATCCGCTGGTGAGCTCATGATGGATGGTTGTTTTATTAGTCCCCAGGCTTGTGTTTACGTGTTTCCACATAATAATAATGAATGGTCATGTTCCTCGTTCTTAGGAAGCTAATATGCCGAGATATTGAACTAAAAATCGTTGACCTCGTTCTAAATGTTTAATTGTATCTAATCAATGGAAGGTAAATCGTTAAACGGTGTCGTACCGGAACCGATTGATATCACGCATCAGACAATAGGGGCTCGTCAATTCGGCAACAACGTGAGTGATGAGAAAAAATTGGCAAGAGACAAGCACAGGTAGATGTTACTTAGCGCCTTATTAAATTATCTATTGTGTTGTAGCGGCGCCTACTCTGACCATTTTTTTGCGAAGAACCTTAAACAAAAACATAACGCATCTGTCTCCTTGAAATTTACCAAAATACTTTTAAGTATTTTGTGTATTATACCTACCTATTTGGTAACGGCAGTAAGCGCGGCAAGTAAGAGATTAAAATGTTAGATATTTTAATTGAAACGAAAGAAAACAATTTCCTTAGGACTTGTGAGAAGTATCTACTCCGGATGTATCTGAATGTTCATGATAAGTACTTAATTACAGGAAAGCTATTAGAGGCCTGTTCTACTTGTTACTAATAGATAAATAGCATGAATGCATAAATTAATTTATGGACATTTAGTTTAGGTTTCTAGTTTTTTTTCTTTTCTAGTTGTAGTAATAATGTAGCTTACAGATAATTAGAATACAAAGATACACATGTATTAAATGATTTAATTGTGCCACATATCAAGAAGGCACGATCGCTTACTACACCTACAAATAAGAGTTGAGTGGGCCTACCACCTACAAATCCGGCCCACTATCATATTTTTCGTTCAATAAGCCTAGCCTACGTGTCACCATTAAGCGGTAGCCTAGCCTTCGAAGTGAATGAAAGAAATATTCGTAACGACTTACTCACCGTATAAGTCAAACTATGTCTACCGTTGGCGGCTTTCCCGATAGCTGCTGGCTTTCTTATAGTAACAGGGGTCTGTGTCTCACTGCGAAAATCACACTGCAGAACAAACAACAGGAGAGCAGTATTCACTTTATCGTCAACTGTCAATCAAACTTTAAACACAGCGATACACGTACGCTTTGAAATTGTAAAACGTCAAAATGAAGCACACAAGCATGCGCTCGCGTGTTGGCGCGTTCAGCGACGGCGCGACTGAGCCACAGCGGCAAGAGCGCGGCACGCGCCGGTGGGGGCTTCATTCACAAATCGAGTGGCGGGGCATGGAACGCGCGGGGCCTGACCCATAGGCTCATTCATGCGATTACCAAGTCAGCGTGATGACCTGCGGCCTATTGCACGATGCACTCCACGATTCACAACACAGAATTCGAATCGTGAGTGACCATTTCCATGGGTTTTTTATGTTACGTCTGCCCCCGTAACATAAAAAAAAAGGTTTTGTAAAATCAACAACGCAGAACGAATTTGGGGACCTCTATTGCACACAACAATGAATATACAATTACAACCTTTAGCAACACGACCGGTTGTACACAACGCCGACGTACAATCGCAATAGCGACCTGGCACGGTTAACGAAAGTGCAGAACCGGCGAAAGTCAGGAGAAATTCGAGTCTGCGATTAGTGTTATGAAGGACATCTGTTGAATATTTCAGATAAATCGATTTTAAATAACATTATAGTGATCATAAAGACAAATACTGTAGGTTTTCGCGACCATAATGGATGACAGTTTTTATCGACGTATCGCGATTAAAACCGCTAAGTATAAAACGGTGACTTGAAATCGGATCCCGTTGCGCCACCGGCGGATTTACAGCAATAATGACTTCGCAAGCAAGAACATTACAAACAACAGTCGGTGAAAGGCTCAAGTACTGAGCACAAGCGGTTGATGTAACAATGTGGCTTGCACCGCACGTGCCCTGCATTGCCTCACTTACAATGCAATACTGCTTTTTATTCGCTGAAGACGACATTAACATTCGCGTGTCGTTTCGATGAACTCAGAATATTCGGCGCAGTTTGTTTTCGAAAGTTATGTGTCTGCTTAAAGGGGCATGATATAGTATTATCATAACGACGATGACGGCATCGGTATTTAAGAAGCCAATAAACTAATTCAATATTTTTTGTTTCCTTGACCTTCTGTTACTCCCGGACAACGTGTTTCTTAATTGTACTTAAGACCTCACCACGTTCATACTGATAGCTAAATTAAAAAATGCCGCAAATCGAATAATAAGGATTTGTTGGAAAAGGTTACATCTCACACACGGCAGTCTGATACCAAACTAGGCAGAGCCTGTACTATGGTAACCTATATATTTTTTAATTACATACCTAGTCGTATTATAGATAAATTACACCCAGACACAGAACAAATGAACAAATGCCTTGCCGCCCTTTGTCTCCCACTCCCCCAGAATTTTTCGGCAGTTTTCTATGCGGTCGTGGTCAGCCTGATATCAGTCAGGTCGAGGCGGCCCATTTCTGCCGAAACATGGCTCTCCAATGGCTAGTTAGGATAACAGATATACATCGCCGGACTTCTTCATCAGAACACGACTAATGTTCGTCTTCATAGTTAGCATAAAATAAATACATAAGAATGCGAATTCGCGTACTTATTTTTTAATTCAAATTACTTATTTGCTTTAACTAGGGTAATAAATAATGTGGTATTGTAATAAAAGTTTGATATAAACGAACAGGCCCATTTAGCCATAAAAATAACATGCAAATTTAACGCAAATTATTAAAATAACTCAGTACGTACCTATATACGAGTAATATTATTATTATTGTCTTTCCTCAGGTCAACCATGTATCAATTATATTGGGCTCTCGTTCTACTTCTTATTGTTACGTTTCTTTATTTGTAAGAAATTCCTTAGTGGAATAAAAATTATTTTGCATAAGCCACCAACGTAGTTTTATTATAAAGTTACTTAAGGGTTACTTAATACAATTTGTTGTAAATCGACATAGAAGTTTTGGAGTTAATCGGTGTATAAACATACATTAAAATAAACCACATGTTAAAACGAATCTATAAATTGCCAGTAAGGCGTGATCTTAATGAGTTTCTGATATATCTACTAATGTCACAGAATAACGCGAAATATCCAGTCGTCATTTGGCCAAACTCTACCTGTGAGGGCATATAATGAATACAAACATGAAACAAACATATTCATCTCCAAGACGATGCACGATGACCTGTCAGCGCCAACAGATACATTAATTAACATGATAACTTTATATATCGAATAAGGAAATTAAATGTCAGCGAATTAATAATAATAATAACTTCACACATCTCACACACGGCCGTCTGATCCCAAACTAGGCAGAGCCTGTGCTATGGTAACCAGACCGCTGATAAACATACTTATATATTTTTAAATACATACATATTATAGATAAATGGCACCCAGACACAGAACAAATGAACGTGCTCATCACACAATATTTATCCTGAGTGGGAATCGAACCCACGACCTCCGGATTAGCAGTCAGGGCCACTAACCACTACACCAACAGGCCCGTCAAATTCATTTAATGTTGAACATTTTCACTGTACGAGTACGGACAATAAAAGACTTAAAGCTTTGTTCGCGTTAGATAATATTAACCTTACACATCTTACATTTGTCCTGGGTTGAACTGGGTGGAATCGATCCCGCGAACTCTGACAGGCCAGTAGATGCCGCATGCAACTGCATGAAAATTGAGTTCAATGATCAGAGAATAATCATTGGGTTTTATAATAAGATTACGATTATAAGACATCTTGAGATAGTTATATCTGCTGGAGCACCGATAATCACAGCGATAAATCTTCCACTCTTTCTCTTGGGTACTCCAAAAAAGGCCAGGACACTGAAATATACAGTGCAGTATGATGATATGATCCCAACAACGAAATTTCTACAAAATGATTGACTATAGTTAACTTATTAATTTCACAGGCCAACAAAAAAATACCCAGAAACCAGAATATGCTTTACAGAAAGATTTTGGTGCGCTGAATCTAAATACGGCCGCAGAATTGCTCTATCACTTTCAGGTTTTTGAGATATTCTAATCTGAAAGTACAAAAATGGCATTTTTCAAATTATATTATGTCTAAAAAGTACACAGGGTATCTTAAAGTTCAAGTCTTCAGTTTTCAAATGACGTTGAGTTTGCTTAAATTTTTTTTTTAATATAAATGATTAAATGGAGTTGTTATAAAATAGGGTTTGGAATTTATGTATCTAATTCAACAACATAGAGCCGTGGCTATAAATGCCAATTTTTAAAGGGGTAAAATAGGATATGTAAGTTTCTAAACAATGATAAGTACAATTCACTTTTAAGTGTAAACACTACTAACATGAATTTTTACTAACTAACTTTATAACTACTATTAAAACTGTAACCTCGTGCAACTACCTTATTAGATTTTTACACCATCCTAAGGTTGGCTGGTAGAGAATGCCCAGGGCATTAAGCCCGCCGATGTACATAAGTGCATTAAGTTGAAAATAAATAAATATTCTTTAAATACTATTAACCCAGCAGGTCTCCCAAGCTCTCGATGTCGGTATGCCTGTGATGTTACCGAAATTATGCAATGATACTAGACTGAAAGTTAAGGGTTTACAGTAGAATTTAGTAGAAGCCACTATATTGACAGGGAGAAACAGTATTTATGCCGAGTATACTGTTGATGCCTAATGATCTGCAATTTGATTTCAAGCGCCTTCAGTTTCCTTTTAAAGTATGTTTTGCCATGACTATAAATAAATCAAAAAGGCTGAACTTAGAAATTTGCAGGAATCGAGTATCGACTTGCGGAAGGACTTCTTTTCACATGGACAGTTTTACCACGCGGATTGTTTATCTTAGCTTCATCCAAAAAATGGTTAAAAATGTTGTTTATAAAGAAATGTCAAAATAACCTTACGATGCATCAGTAATCCATCCAGCCAAGTAGTTTGTATCTTCTTTAATACATATACCTAATCTTGATTCATTGTATCCTCTACGATGTCTGATGTCGACCACCATGCGGACGAAGTCACAGGCAAAAGCTAGTACCCATATATGGGCAATGATACGCTGTGCCAATTATTTTATTGCAATTGATTTGTACAACAACACTACACTTGAACTACATACATTATAGGCGAAATTAACACGGTGCTAGGTGCTTATTCCCCTTTTATGTTACAACTGCATAAAATCCTGAATGCTGTAACTCCTCTCCTAATGCTAACGTTAGAGGCCTTGAGACATGATAGGCCATACTCTAATCTAGCTAAAATTCTGTTAGTAGAATTTATATTTTTAATTTTTATAAACTCAACTCAAATATTTTTATTTTTATTAATTTTTTAAAATTATTTGAAATCATCTCTTGTGTAGACACTAAAGCGAAAGAATTATACACACAATAGCAACAATCTCTGTTTTGTCAAAATATAGTATAGTATTAATAGTAGTTGTTCTATGGATATAAATAGATATGGAATTACGATGATGATATTTTAAACTCGAACTTAATGTTCGAGTTTAAAATATCCAGTTGGAGGATGGAGGAGGAGGTTTGGAATATCTAGGAGTTTTTAGTTGGATACCAGTAATATATTCAATCGAGTCAAATTTTGATTTAAATGAATGTGTTGGTTATCGTTGAGTAATTCGATTTTTAATTATTATTTTTTTTAATACCACGCCGAAAGATTATAAGTAGAACAATAATCTTCCGGGCGTAGTTTAACGTTACAAAAAAATCCTAGTATCCAACTAAAAACTCTATAACTGGTTAGCCCATTCTTCAAGTTTTTAATCTTTTTATCAGAAGCAAGCTTCAATAGGTATCCTCAATAGAGATGATTTGAATACCTGCGATTATGACCTCAGAAGAACTTTCCATTGAATGGTTGAATTATTTTTATCTCACAACATGTACAATGTAGAGACATCCAATTTAGAGTGTTGTCACTGCCAGTACGAGTCGTATGTTATTTTTAAAACTATTGATAAACTCAGCTGCAATTTACATTGCACTACCGTTTGCGTTCTATTATAAATTAAAAAGTTCTATCCTTAACTTTATTAAATAACGCATTTAAATTTTATAAGTAGACAAATCAATAGGTTACATACCTTACCTTACCTTTCGAAAAATATGTTATGTTGATTCTAAGGTAACAACAGTAAACCAACAGAAAGTTAGATATATAGAAGATAACTATATATAGATAAAAACCATTAATTATGGCGTCATTTCGGCAGAAAAATCATAAATTATTGCAATTGTGCTAAATTAGTAACGATGTTTATGATTGGTGATAGATGGAACAACACATTGTTGTCAAAATTGATGAAAAGCTGGAATCCTAGATTTAAAATCTTTTCATGAACGTTCTCAATCTTGGTGGCTCTATAAATTCTGACTAAACTTTCCGTAATTAATAAAGTGATTCATAAAGTAAATCCCATATTCTACTATTAAATAACTTTATTACTAAACGCTGTAAACTGTCCTTAATAGTTTGTTCACAAAACAATTAGCTCAGCATAAATTATAACAGCAATAACAATACCATTATACTAAGTACGCCGTTTATGGAAAAGATAATTTGACCATGGTCAGTCATAAAAACACATACATTTCCCACCAGATACCATCGACACGGGGGTAGAACTCACCGGGCTTCCTGTTGTCAATTAATGTCGAGAGAAGCCAGTGACGGTTGTAAGCACTATGTACTGTTATAATACCACGCGATGCTGCAAATTAAACAGACATTCGAAGTACTGGAAAACAGTCTTATTATCAATTAGCCCGAGCTACGTTTGAAATTACAATTATTTAGAAACAACACAACCGACTGATTTTTAGTCTAGTGTCTGGTTAGTGATACTCACTACTGACCCAGACGTCATGGGTTCGATTCCCACCCAGGATAAATCATTTTGTGATGAGCATGACTATTTGTGCTGTAGCCATCAAAAGGCACATGCGAGAGCTTATCATCTTCGCTCCCCTGATAATAATTAGCAGCAATCACCATAGCCGCAATCAACTGGGAAGGATTTTGTATATACAGGGTTACTGGTTAAGTCGGCCTAGATATTTTAAGGGGTTGTAGTAGCCACTATTATGAATAGATTTCACTGTTAACTACCATATCCCAAACTTAACCATTTTCAAGATATTGGACTTTTAAGACTTCTTATAAAAATTGCCGAAAAATTGGACTAATATAGTGCAATTTTTGGCAATTTTTATAAAAATATATTTCTCTTTTTACTTTTTTTGTGTAGTTAAATACATTATTTTATAATTTCCGTTATTTAAATAAACTTAACAAACTGGGCCGAAGTAGATGTGTTTTATAGGTCAAAATTTGAGTTTTTTTTTCGTTAGATAGAAGTTTGATTTTCTCTCAGCTTTGAGGGTCTGTAGACCTGAGTATACGATTTTAATTTCAACTCGATACCTCCACGCGTTCTCAAGATAAAGGGTTTTGACAGACAGACAGTCGGACAACAGTCCTGGATCCTATAAGGATTGCGTTTTTTCCTTTTGAGGTACGGAACCCTAGCAAACACATCATAACTGGTAAATATAAATATTTAATGGTTTTTAGAAAAAATAGTTTTTGGGAAATATTTTTGATAAATATAGTTAATATATCTTCGAGAGTAAATAAAATCATTCATCTCATATAAGGTGTGTGAGCTTATGACATTCATTTGCAGAATTTCGTGACTCACCCGACCAAACGCAGCGGGATATCCTAAAATGTCGACGATGCTCATAATATTCAATTCAATGAATTAAAATAAAAATCAAAGACAAAAGAAAAGAACTTTGCCTTATGTTTTTGCGAATTTCATTTTTTCTGTATCATAGCGTCCATTCTAAATTATTTAGGAACATTTTAATATTAGGGCGACTTGCAAACGCAAGCAAATAAACAAAATTAATTAAATGCAATTAAACGCATAAACACGTTCAACTACTTAAACAGGTTTAGACCCCTGTTGCTGCGTTTTTGGTGTCGTAAACAACGAGCAGACATGGTCACTTGGTGGTAAGTGACTACCGTCCATTGAGCTACCCCCCTACTAGAGGCTCGAAAAACACCCCCTTGCAAAAGGGCGGGCTTGTTCGAGCCTCTAGTAAACAAAAACACGGCAATGGTAAACTACGCGGATCGGAATAAAATCTGCTACAAAGATACAGAAAAGTCTGGCACAGCATGCCTTAGCTCGAAAAATTTTTTTATTGTGAGCGAAACCGTGGGCTTCAGATAGTTAGAAATAAACTTATAACTTTGTAGTACTTAGTGTTTGCCTGCCGCAGTCAGTTTATTTGCACATGTCGTCCCACCTTACGTGGTTTCATGAAATGCAAACTGACAAGACAACCAACATGGCGATTACAAAACGTAAAGGTACCTATTCATTGCAAAATGACAAAATATATATAATACACCACCCACTTATATTTACATACCCACATAGAGCATTGGCAGAACCACTTCTGTGCCAAGGCCCGCGAGTTTGATTCTGGTTTGATATTGGTCTAGTGGTTCGATTCCCACCCAAGACAAATAATTGTGTGTATATGTCTCCGGGTGTATTACTATATAACTTTCATATACAGTATGTATTTAGAAATTTATGTCATCAGTACATATTAATATTTACTTAATAATAATAAAATTAACTGCGTGGATGGAGTATGGGGTAGTGGTTTAAGCGGTCACCTCGCCGTTTCCTACTGCGCTGAGTATGATGAGTCCGATCCCCAAATGTCACAACGCTTTGTATGATCCACAAATTGTTTTTCTGAGTCTGGGTGTTCTTTGTGTCCGTTACATGAATGTTTGTAAAGTTCCCCGCGAAACAAGAAATATTCCTAGTGGAGTTGTCTTTAAAAAAATATCATCAGTCTGATCACCATAGCACATGCTCTGTCTAATTTTGAGATCTATAATTTGACGATCCAAGATGGCCGTGTGTAAGAAGTGTCAAGTTATTATTATTATTATTCTCACATAGTAGACATACAGTCTTCTTTAGCCTATGGGCAAATAACTAGGACATATTATTACGAAAATTGTCCTCGCTCAAACGTTTTATTACGCACATGAATAGCATGCTTTAAAAGTAATATTAATTACTAGTTATTGTTCGCTACAATGGCGCATACTATGTTTAATTAACTTTGAGTATGATAGTATCAGACGTGTTTTGTACAAAAATTCGTCCTGATATCTTTACATGTTTTACCTCAACATTTAATTGTACTCGCTATTTCCACTTTTTTGGTCTTTCTAAATTTATTATTATATTTTTTAAATGTTACATGTACGCTTTGTGAGATAAAATAAGAAAATGAAATAGAATATTTCAGAACTTTCAGTACTTTTACGGAGGGACAGTAATAAAAAAAAATGGGTTGTATTGAGTATGGCAGTCTATTCAGTGTTTAATTAGTTATTACTATGGCTAGCACTCGGGCTATTTCGGTTTGGTAAACATCTGCACTGCTAAGGTTCAGCAAATTTCTGCTTGAATATCAAACACAAGCTGCCCGCTTTGTGAACCACAGTAACTAGATTGAAATTCCTAGTTCACCTGTTATATTCGAGTAGCTTGATCTAAAGCTAGGCACAGAATTATAGTAACTTCAGTGTACGTGATTCATCGCGGCAATGACTAGATGATTAGCTATAAAAATATAGATGTTTATTACGCCTCCTTAGAGTGTATACAAATATGTAGGTATCCAAAAACGTAAGTGGTTCTTGTGTAGCACAACCTTTGCTAAATTTCGATAGGTACTATTTAAGTACTTGGATTAGACTGATTTCCGATTACGTCAATCCTTTAAATCTGCAAGTGTTAATAACATGAAATTGGATCTGTTGTTTTGGTCACGCGAATATCGTGTAATTTTGATATGCGAAGTAGGCTTACAGTGGATAATTACGGCTTTTATAAAGATAAATTATCTCTATAAAAGCCGTATGCTATTTTTTAATGTCATAATCTAACTATTAGTATCCTTATCGTTTTGGATTGCATTAGATGATAATGGCAAATGGATAGAGATTTAAATAACGGTTTGCTTTCATTAGAATATTTACGATACCGTCTATAATTTGTATTCTTGGTTATTATAAGTAATGAACATTTCATGCAGTTTTTACCAAGTCATGGTATTTAATAATTAAATAAAAATCGTGTTCGTATTAAAAACAGAGTCCAATTTAAGCAGCTATAACGAGTTTCGACAAGAAATGAAGGGTCCGTGGAACACCGGAATAAATAGACTAATCAGACCCTGAAATACTTTTCGTACTAGGTTCGATAAAATCTACTAATATCATACCTAGTCTCACCTCAATAGTCATTATTAGATAAAAGTTTAGATGACAACTTCGATTACCTATGATCGCTCCAAGGCTAACATAAAACAGCTGATATTGAGCACCTAGAAACTGAGGTCTATGATATTAAAGATTGTAACGCAATTACCTACCATAAGGCTCTATCGCGATTTAAGACTGGTATACAAAAGTTAGTTACGAAATTATGGTCATTAAAAGACATCATTATAAAAGGAAAATATGAAAATAGGCAATATGGGTCACTCACCTGTGCAACATAACGCGACATAGTCCGCCGGTGACGTTGTACCTTCCGGTAGACTCCATGACACCTTGAACTGCGACCCTTCTAACGTCCAACTTAAGGTAGCTTTGGCACCATACAATTCTCCTTTCTCATCCACCTCGCTGCTCAACGTTTCTTTATTTATGGCACTGGTTTCATCATCTTTGGATGTATTGGCACTAGGTTCTTCTGCCACCTCACAACAACTGTTCTCCACCACTGTATCGTCATTACTGTCGGTCTGTATGTCGTCTTTCACGGCAGAATCCTCGTCATGACACTCAGACATGACTCCACTGTCTACACAATTTAACTACACATTTCTACAGCAATAATTTCGAAAATTAAAAAAAAAGAGTTTTTAAATCGTATTTGTAGAAAGCATGTTAAAAGTTTGAAATACGGAACGTACGAAAAATAATGAATTGATTGAAACAATCGAAATAAAAAGTTATTAATAGATTGTGACAAAAGAGAGAAATGTGGAAAGTAATGAGGAAACTAAGAGTTTGAAAGGGAGATAAGAGCAAGAATATGGTAAGGGTTGTTATTTAATACTGAGATGACTACACCACTCGTTTCCAAACGTCGATGGCGGAGTGGGGGGAGGGCCTAGACGTTGACTGCCGGCGACGTCGCGACGCCAGCCCGACTGGCGCCGCCTCCTGACAGTTACTGTCTAATTCGTCCTATTCAACTCTCTACAAAATCACTACAAGTGTTCACTTGACCACTTATTTCAGTTGAAAGGATTCTTGTGCTAACACAAATTATGTTCATTCAATCTTCATATCCAAGCTTGTAATTTGAACATACTGATGTGAAATTCCAGCCAAATGTTAGCTACTGTGATATGGTTTCAAGCCAACTGAATTATATGTTTTAATTTAATACTTAATATTAAAAACTTGTCTTATGTTTTTGACATCTTGCAGTAGTGTGCTTTGTAAAATTCCATTATAAATTTTATTACTAAATGAATTTGTTAGCATACTATACAGTTTTTCTTGATTAGCCACAGAGACATTGATTTGCCACATAGTTATGTTTTGATGCATATTTTATGAGTTGAAAACAAATATGAAAATTTTGTCAAATCCCAGAACGGCATAACTCTTAAAGAGTAAATGTCAAGCCATCAAAGAAATTCAATGTGATTAAGAAATTTAAATTAAAGTTGCATGTTCTAAAAGAAATAGATCTTTCCAATGTTGTATTATTTTTGATCTCAAATGCATTATAATTATTTGTTTTTGTACTAAAATGTTTTTCTTTTTGAGATAAAGCAGCATAATGCTTGAGCCATCGTAAAATTAGTAAGAATATTTTAAGGATTCAAATTTTTCATTCGTATCTAAGGAAATAAAAATATACGGATAAAAATTTAAGTCTTGTTATGAACAAGTGATTTGTGATAATTATATGTACCTATAGTAACTATATTTTATATATATATACAAGTATAGAAATTAATTTAATTTAACATAATTACATATTAAGGATACATTTGGCTTTATTCTAATTTTAACTTTCTTCGTTTAAGTTGTAATCAATAACTGTGCAATAAAAACAACCACGTATGAAAAAAATAAGAGATATGACAGAAAGAAAATGTTTCTGCAACACCACACACACTGTTTAGTAATAACGTTTCGAATATTTTTGCGCAAAAAGTGGAATTAATGATTTTCAGACCGATTTTCGAAAAAAAATTGGCTTTTCTCCAATGCAGCGATTCTTTCCGCAGCGGATGACATTGACATTTTGATGTGTTCAGAAACGACAGAAACTTAGTAGTTTTTTTTTTGTATTAACATTTAACAAATAATTATATTTCTTAATTAAAATAAACACAAATATATTACATATTTTTCTATATATAATTGTTGTCAGTTCCTAATTTTTTTTCACACCTGACCCTAAAAGCTAGTTTCAAAACATAGCATCAAATGTCAATAAACTGCAACGGCATTTTTATAGCATTAAAATTCAAATCAGTGGTATTTATTTTTCGTGTATCCGTAGTAATAAAACATAAAGAGCACAGTTATGTAAAACACTTTGTGAAAAAGTGATAAGTAAATACCCATGTGACGTCTTCTTGATCAGTACCTTTTAAAGTTAAATCAAGATTATAACTGCTTGAACTGCAAATTTTAAGCAAAGAGTACCTACTCAGAATTTAATTTGAAATAAAATCATGACGTCGATCGGTCCTTCCGATACAGAATCTAACGTCAGTGGTTTCATCCGTTACAGCGATAAAAACATTAAGCACTTATATACTTCCATGTTAGAGGTAAGATTAAAAACATTTAAAACTTTAGCATTATTTTGCGCATGCACATATTTAGCACTTATTTATTCATATTTAACACTAAAGATATACTTTACCACTGGTTCCAGATAAGCACAATATTTCTCTCATGAAAATATAATCAGTTAACATCTTTGTATGTTCAAAAATGCATTATAAACAACAATAATAACTTCAGACATCTCACATACAGCTGTTTGATTCCAAACTAGGCAGAGCCTGTGCCATGGTAACCAGACTGCTGATAAACATATTTATATATTTCTAAATACATATACCTAATAGATTAATTACATGCAGACACAAAGCATGTAATCCTTTTTGATGTCATGTTATTGTTTTTAACAAAATATTATAAGGGCAAAAATGTGTTTTCATCCATAGGCTGTAGAAAAATGAATATTTGAACAACTATGCATAATGTATAATATTGTATTTGATGTTTTACTTACTTAATTAATTATTCTAATAACCATTACCTTTTTTTATATTTTATATATGATTTATATATGAGCAGACAGGTCACTATGGTGCTAAAATTTTATTTTAGTAGTGTTGATATGAAACCCTTCACTAAACAAAATATAGTACACCATTAGTTTTTATGATGCCGATCTTGTTGGCAACATCTAATGCGTCATAGTCCCTTACTAGCAGTATGTACAACCCTGTACTATATTATTTTGTATTGTTTTCAGAACATGGAATCAATCAATCAAGATATTTTAAAAATTGAGAAGAATATTATAACAGTAATTGAAGAGGCTGGTCCTTTTGAGGGCCAACTATCAGCATTACTGCAGGCATTGCCAAAACCAAATGTTATTGTACCTATGGAAAAAGATTAATTATATAATAGATTTACTTCGCTAATAAGTATAGTTATCTGTGTCACCACCCCTATTCATCCTGTGGGTGTCACTGTCGTAAGAGTCGACTAAGGGGACAAACTAAGAAAGACAACAGCACTGCAAAGAGAAGGAAAACTTGAAACAAACCCTATATCAACTCATCTGGGTAATAGTACAGTACAGTTTACTATACGTCATGGTAAACTCCTGTCGTAGGAGAGGCGTATGTCCAGCCAGTGGACTACTAAAGGCTGTTGTTGATGATAATGATGACTAAGTAATGGCAAAATACATGACTCTTTTTGTCGTGTAACATATCTCCTCACGCCTTCCAGTCATCTTTAAGAAGAATATCGTGAAAAAGGACGGAAGGTGTAACGGGAAGCCATGGAAGCATGTGATATTTTTGATTTGGCAAATTTGCTAGATGTTAAATGATCTACTTCATTGGGTACTTTAAGGCTCACTTGTATTTCGTATATAATGTTTTCTGTATTATGTTACACATTCAGTTTTGTTTCACATTTAGTTCTAAGCATGTTAATAATTATTTTGTAGAAATAAAATTGATGATTTTCTAAATATTGTGTTTTAAAGCCTTCTGTTTGACTGAAACTGATCTCTCCCTGTGTGTCTGTCTGTCACAGTCAATTTGCTTTGAACTGAATCAGATGATTACCTACTTACTGATAAATACATACTTGCAAACACTCGGACTAGAACCCGTAACTCTCAACGCGACAACAGGCGCATGCATTATCGTCGTGCCGCAAAGATCATCAACCTTTGTTATTTTGTATTGCAGATTAAAACTTATTATACAGATTATTCATAAAGACAATGTATAGAGAGCAGAAATAATAATAATTTGTTAATTATAAAGTAAAAAAATAGGTAAAATTATTAGGTATCTTCAGTTGTGGAGGTCAAATATAATGTATTATATACCTATTTATTTTGTAATGTATTATAAACCCATATGATACAAAAGTAATAAATACCTTGATAAGTTATACTCGTCAAATAAAACAAGATTTGCAGCTATCGTAATTTAGGCGCAAGGCGATTTCTATCAAGAGATCTACATTTCATTACTCACAGTATAAGTTAATGAAAAATCCTTGTATTGCGTTTTCTACTGCTCCCATACTTACTACTATCGCTGATATACCTGCTACATGCTCTTTCAATTCTCCTTAAGAACCCTAAGACGTAAATGAGCGAAACCCAAGTTGAAGGAAGGAATAAATTTTTCCCGCCTTGTCAGTTTCATTACCATACTCTTTTAGACCCAACCTCATTGGCTATGAACGGAAAACGTCTTGCGATTATAATGTCATTACAACAGTCTAATAAAGGATAATGAAAGTCTTGCAATAGAATGGAATAGTTATTTAGTTAGTTATTTACTACAGTATACGTTTTATGAATATGCGTATGTAGTACCTACATATTAGGTATACTAGTTACTTTATTAAAACCATAACGATATTAACACTAAATTGGATCACTAAAGTTTTATAATGGAAGTGCTCACAAGGCCGAAGTCACCGACTCGGCTAGAAGCGATCACTAAGAATTATACCAATCCACCTCAGTACAGTAATAATGTGCTCATAGGTGAGTACATAAATAATAAGACTGATTTCTTTCTGCTTAATCCTTTACTCAGGCGATCTCACTTTCATCTGAACTTACATTACTGTGTAGAGACTAGTCTAGTGTTTTTTTTTTTTTGTTAAGCCGACTGCTAAGCCAGAGATCGTGGGTTCGATTCAGACAAATAATTCTGTGATGAGCATGATCATTTTCTCTAATGTATCTTTTATCCTTGTTGCGATTATTGTGTACCGGCTTGCACACATGTTTGTTTTAAAGCTCAATATGAGGCTGACACATTGCATCATGCGCAACCTGACCAGGCTGTAAACGTACTTTAGCTCTTTTTACATGTTGAAAGTCCCTTGGGCCGTCAAAACCACAAGGTGTGCTACTCTGAGCCTGAAATAGGAAGAACTCGGGAACAGATATTATTAAGATATACGGACCCCTCCTAACGGTGGTGCCTGCAATAGCGCTGCACCACCTTTGGGTGAATTCTCTATTTAGGCGACGTCCGACACGTGGACGTCGCAGTGCTGACGGGTGGGACTCAATTCTCTCCTAGCGTCCGAGTGCAGGTACTTTAGCAGGCACGTTACTTTAGCGTAAACCATAGTAACTAGGATACCTACTATGTAACAAAATATTTTCAGATTCTATTTAAAAAACGCATTAAGTACTTACATTTTTCTACTACTTTCAAAAATATTATTTATGAGCAAGTATTGACATTAATGTTATTCATATTCATATAAATTACAACAGGAAATTGGGTTGAAAATAGAATCGAATGCCCCAAAGCTGGTACTTTCTATTTTCCACCAAAAGAGCATATAGATTATGAAAAATTAAGACCAGAATCAAGAAGGAATGACTACAGAAGTAATAAACTAAACAGTAGTCAGGTATGTTTATTTTGATACTTATACTGCGTATGCCCGAGTCGCGATAAGGCTGACATCGTTTCACATAATTTAAGATATTGCCAAAACATTGTCTGCAACAGTATTTAACTGCCATCACCTGTTGTAAAATAAAGAGCGCAAGCTATTTCTTCTCTAATCATATTTCGAATTTTGACAGTTGAAGTTATCATCATTATCATCCATGCATCAAGCCTTAGCTCCACGAAGGTCCTCTGACGCAAGTTTACAAGCCTTACGTGTTTCAAATATACCTACCATTAACAGTAAAATAAGTAGAAAACCTTAAGAAGTACATAGGTAACTTAAACTAACACTTAGGTACACTAATAAAGTGAGAACTAGGCACACAGAAAATTAATAAATCACTACAAATATATATATAATAAATTCATACAAGTAGCACGAAATACTTTAATTTTCCTACAGGGTAACGTTCCGTCAGTGATTCATCACGACAGTCATGACGGGTGTCCCAACTACGCCACTATTAATGACCTAGTTTACAACCATTTGCCGAAACCGTTGTGCGGCCCTATACAGCGGTATTACAAAAGAGCCCCGCATCAGTTCTACCCGCAACCGGATCTTATGAAATGTTTTGTAAGTATTCATGCAATCATCTATTTTCTCGTCTTTTTATAGGTACCGTCATGTGGAGGAGTATAAGGATTATATCCTTTTTGATCTTCCATAAAAGACAACTTTATTCCATAAACACACATATGTATGTACATTTTTAAAGTTACCTGTTACTGATTCATCCAATATATCCATACTAATGATCACAATTAATTTGCCTTAACCGGTATGAAACCCACACCCACAACTTTCGTAATGCAGTTGCGAAGGGTAGATGACTACTGCGCCAACCACTTTTGTGGTGAAAGTCTGATATTGCTCGTAGTTTGAAATTGAATAAATAGATTTGGTGAACAGACAAACTCCCTTAATTTAGGTACTCTATAACCATCATGTGTGAACAAATTCTTGAAAAGTCTGCCAAACAGCTGTTTATTCAGACACGAGGTTTAAGGTATTTTTAAGATAGAATAAATCAGGAAATTCACAAGCTCCAATCCAATGTCTCCCCAGCTCTTGCACACTTAAGTAGGCGAAACCTAACAGCTAAAAATATATTACCTATTCAAATGTTCATATTTAGTAAAATGTTTTGAATATGTTGTGTGGGGAGGCCTTTGTCGAAAGATAACCTGACTAAGTGGTTGCTAGAGAATTTATCAAACAATATTAAGAATATTGTTTTATATAAGTTAAAATCTGTAAAATGGTCAGTGAATATGACGGCTTTTATTAATACATTATTATTTTTATAAATGTGTTAAGGGTAATGTCACCGAGTGGGGCTTGAGAACAGCATTGAAATACGAGTGGAAGTGCACTGACGTGTCGGACTATCAATCAAGCCTGTATGAAGACACGTACGTGCCGCCACGCCCCCATCAGTACCTGCAGCGTAATGAGAGGAGAGCAAGGAATTCGTAAGTATTTATTGTATTGACTCTGAAACGAAGTCGTTTCTGATAGAATATCTGGAATTTTAAAGGACATGAGTAAAATTACCTACGTTGCGATTATGCTACCTTTTTGAAGAGAAAATCCTTTAAGCGCGTTGGGAATTTTTGAACAACAAACAAAATAATGTATTTTTTGAGTTGGGAAAAAAACATTGAACTTGCGACACTTACCGTTACCGACACCTCAGTATATAAGTATCACATAATATTGGCCCCGGCCACACCAGAGTTGAGTTTGGGTTGAAATACATTGATAATAATATAAAAATATGTAATATAAACATATGGTATGTATAAACGTAGAACATAGTTATATATTCATGACGGAACTTTTTGAATCGAAAAAAACTTTTTTTTTATAATAAAAATAAAAAAAAAAGTTTTCACTTCTGTCGGCCCTCCCGGAGAGCCACTGCTTTTTTTAGGCATAGGTAGCAAACGGGTCACCTGATGGTAAGTGACTACCGTCGTCGATGACCACCTGCAACTCGAGTCACAAGTGCATTGTCGCACTTTGAGTCAAACCCCCTAAAATCAGGGGGAGCTCATTCACTCAAGCAGCGACAGAATTAATAACACCGGTATTCTGTTATATCCGTGGTATCACACCTGTTGAGCCTGACCCGTATGTGCCTAAAAGTGCTCTCATTTTAGCTCATAACAGCATAGTTTAGTCGAAGCATAGTGCAACAGAAAGGTGCGTTTAAACTACTTGTGTAAAATGAATGCCAAACAGTACTCAATTATACTGCAGTTCTGCTCATATCAAAACTGTGCAATACAAGAAGTATTTCACTGTAGGAGAAACAACAGGTGAACACTATGAGCATAAGTCGAAAAGTCGGCTAAACACGAATGATACCTTTGTTTTGTTGCATTTTTTTAATAAAAATAAGTCTATATAAAAAAAAGTAATATCAACAGTTTTCGTTTTTTTAAATCTATCTCTGGATCTGTGGCCAAGCATGTCATGTGTTTGAAGAAAAAAAAACTCAGTACAATTTCATGTTTTTTATTGCAGGAGTTTCACAAAAAGTTTCAATTTTAAGATGACAAAATCAAAAAAATGATAACATCAAGAATCATTTTTCACTTTTTGCAAGAAAATATTTAGTCTTTACAATATCACATTTTGTTCGAGATTAGGACAGTGACGTCCATATAAAAATTGTTAACAATACAATAATTCTTAATGCTTTCATATCGCCATTACCCTGGCACCAACACGAGATCAGCAAATAATTCTTACATACTAAGTTTAGTCTCAAACGTTACGACTAACAACCACTTATAACTAACATGATATAACTTAACAAAAAAAATCTTAACGTAATGGCAGTTCACAGAACTTTCATAAATGTTTATAAAATTATAGAGGTATGTGAGAAAATACGTACGAATATAAAGAATAGTTCGCAACAAAAACCCAGTTGACTAGCGGCAAGCTTTAGCGAGACGGTAAAGAATTGACTTGCTGCAGATTTATGAGTCCAGACTCACTAGGAGTCTTGAACATACTGCTTTCTACATATGACTGCTGTGGAGTGAATGCAGTTGGGCACCCTGGAACCCTTGGAACTGGATACTGTTGAGCAAATTTAGGCTGAGGTATTTGGACGTGGTTATTGAACTGCATCTGTGGGTACACCGGCGAGCTCACACGTCTGTAATTCTGAGGAGTTTGCAACATACAATTGCTCACAGCTGGATAGCGGTCCATAACCATTGGCTCTCCGCATACGGAATCTTCGCGTGAAGGAGGTTGAGAAAACACATTGCGTTGATTCATGCTGGAAGTTTGCGATTCAAAACCCGAACTCTGACTAGACGAGCGACTACCGTCTATAGAAAATAATTGCCTCTCGCTTTCAGAGCCCCAATAACCACCAGCTACCCAAGAAGTACTGTGACCTAACTTACTGGGAGAAATCAGAGGCCTAGAACGAGTCATAGGTGTCGGCGCTACAAAACTGGGGGTAGCCGAGAATTTCCTTAAGGAAAATATAGAATTTGTTTTATTCTTACTCTTCTTTGGACTACCTATACACAAGGAACTAATACTTTCATCTAATTCTGAATCTGAATCGTCCTTTGCAAGTTTTTGATATTTATTGAAAGAAGGCTTGACAAATATATTGTCAGAAACTGAACTTGGACTTTTGCATGTGACAGAATTGACACAAAACGTAGAATTCAACTTTGGTTTCGTCCACAGACTGTCTGATCTCGGTGTAAAGGTCCTACCATTCATGAAACTTGCATTTAACGGACTAAAAGTATCATTTGAGGATTCTGAAAAGTTATGCAAACCGAATTTACTCAGTGACACGTCATCATCAGTGTCCAAGGTTACATGGTCATCATATTCGTCAATGAGAGTGTTCACTGAGCCCTTGATTAGGTTCTTCATTCGTTTCGGCGACGATGGCACGTGCATTTTACTTTCCGCTTTAATAGATTTGTAGACTATAATCACCACCAAGGTACATATCACCTGAAACAAAGAGATTACTTTTGTATTCTAAAATGTTTGTGGTTTTTGAGATTATACATGTTTAAACTACTTGTTGTTCCAAATTAATTTAATAAAGCTAGGAACATAAATTACTTCCAAATGCAAGTCTGTCTTAGTTTAACCTTGATGTGTGTTTGCTTGCTCAAATCCACCAGCTTAGCGTTTACTACACTTGGCCATTTACAATGACCTACATACTAACTAGTGTGAGAACTGTAATTGTGTGATTAGGATCAGTGGTGCTACTGTTAGATTTGAAGTTATTGTTAATCTATTTTATAAAATCCTATTAAAATTATCTATTTTATATTAAAATATGCAATTAATTGACTCTTGTGACGGTTTTGAAAGTGCTATATCAATTTTTATTAATTTTGGTATAGAGATGGATTTTGATGAAGAATATAAGCTACTTTTTGAGTGAGACTAATACATGAAATAGGTAATGAAGATTTGTCTGAGGCATTTTACTCAGACAAACTCACAGGGCATAATGAATTGATGCTAATTTACAAAGTATCTAAATAAACTTTGTATAACATGATTCTAAATAATCTAATCTCACTAAATGTAATTCATTTTACAGCTTACAAAATAAACAAACGGTAAAGTGACATTACAACTGCAAAACAAATAAAATATCACATTTATAGTTGCACTTACCTTAATCAAGCTTAAATAAATAGGTTCCAAGGCCAGGTCTAATGTAGCAGCAGCAAATACTAGCCATAGCAAGTCAATTATAATAGTGTTTTTCAAATTGTTTACATTCCAAATGAGTCCAATAGTTTGTAAAAAGCACACAAAAGCGCCTAGAGCTTTCTGTGTCATCAAATTAAACTGGTCAATGTTTATGTGTCTTAAATTAAAACTTTTTGGCATCAATTTCATTTTATAAATGTCATAGAAAAAACCTCGTAAGAATGGGAATGTCATCGTAATCTTCATTTCAATGATAGAATATACCGTTTCTAGAAGTCCTAGTGCTATTTCCTTTATATTAGTTATTGTACTAAGTAAATTCTGGTATCTTAATGTTAAGTTTGTGTAAAGTTCAAAAGAAACCAGTATAAAAAGTATAAGTGCAATCAGCAAAGAGGTACTGTTTATAAACATCTTTAGCATTCTGTTTTGTTTTTCATGCTTTTGATTTTTTTTCTCTGGTGTCCTTGTTGCCAATAGTTTGGACCCTAACAGAGTTTCTTTCTCTTTGTACAACTTGACTTGCAGGACTTTCTTACAAGGGCTGCATAATTTGTAGGCTTTTTCTAACTGCAACCTGCAACAGTAAATAACATACATAATTAAGAACACTCCTTGCAACATTAAAGAACAATTTACTATACACATCAAAGACTACTAATAAACACTCTTTTTTATAGTTAGCAAATATCAAGTTTACAAATTTGTATTTTCGAAATGAAATAAACATTTAACTCCATATTTAAAAATGGTTTCTTGAACTTGATTTAAATAGACCAACTATTTAAATCAAGTTCAAGAAACCATTTTTAAAAACATGTTAGATTTTAGATAGATCATAGGGCCATTTTAAAACTGATATATATATATATATCCTGGTTAATCTTTTACAAATCCTATGTTCAGTTTTAACTATTTAATTTTTATGACACTTGACTGGATAAATAGTCCTAGAGATTGCCTGGGGGAAGAAATTTGACTGTTTTGAAGTCTTTCTTTATATTTCATTGACCAGTCAGTATAACTAGACCATTACTTGTATAGACTTTTGTACCATAACAAGTCAAAATATATACTGGACAACTATAGGTTTATGTTGCTGTTTTTACATAATTTTAATTATATAGCACACAAAGTCCCCACAACAATATTTCACTGTGAGGTTTTAAAGGGAGGGAGGGAGGGAAATATATTGATACCATATCATATTCAATTTGCATCAAATAACATATTTTTTCGGCGTGTTTTATTTTTCGCTAGTATAGATATTCCCTATGTTGTGTCACAGAATTTTGCAAAAAAAAAGTGTGGTGAAATATCACTGTGCTATTAGCTTTCCATATATATGTTTGTAGATTATTTATTATTATAGTATGTTATTAGATTATTCCATATCTATGTTACTCTTTCATGCACTTTTTTTTGTTTTACAATTTTTTTTAATTTGAAGAAAATTGCCTTAATTTAAAAATTAAGGCAATTTTCTTCAAATGTTATGTTTTATTATTTTGGGTATGGTTAGTTTTTAAGGAGACTAAAATTACCAATGCCAAATATTAGTTGTCTTATCACTGGACACTATCCACATTTTTCAAAATTAGTTACTGTACACTCAACTCACTTACTCAAATCTGAATAGAAAGTGAAAACTATTGGGCTTTTGAGTTTAGTCATATTTACACTATTAAATGGGATAAGCAAACATGACTCTTGTGACTGATAAGAATCGCTAAGCAATTTTCTACAAACAAGATAAGTGAGAATGAGGTAAATACTTGGCCTAAAATGGCTTGATAGCAACAGAAGGTCATATTTAAAAGTATATTATAACTGCTTTTTAACAAAATTAGCAGGTGAAGTGAACTCAGGCCATTTGAGGTGATCAACTTTGGTTTTGTAGGTGTGAGTATGTATATCATGTATGTGAACCAACCTCACTGTTTAGGTTCTGGGGAGAAGGCAATCCAATACACAAAATACTATAGTCCAAGTTAGAAAGAGCCTGTACTACAGTACATGGACGGACACCTCCTCAAAACCAATGGCCCAATATTCCAAAAAATACTCATTTGACTAAAAATATTTTTCTTTAGCAAAAAATGAGAATGACAGTACACATACAATTTATATATGGTGAATAAATGCTGTCTGGATGTATTTTGGCTGAACAGAGAGTTCCTAATAAATCTTATTAAAGACCATATTCCAATTAGTTTCAGGAGTTCAAATTATAGAACTTGAATTAGGACATTAATCAAGAACCACCAATTTATAAAAAAAAGGATATTGTCAGTGTTTAATATACTAGAATTGATTTATTTATTACTTTTGTGACTACTTTAAATTAGAATTTATAAGTCTGATAAGTGTGAATAGATGAAGTTTTTTCATATCAAGTAGTATGACTGTAAAAGTTCAGAAGATGTATAAATACTAACAAAAAGGTTGTGATTCAGGACAGGATAAGTGGAAAATTTAAATGAAACTAGTTGAAGCCTGAATAACATCAAACTTAACGAGCTTTTGAGTGACTGGCAAAAGGCAATATCAGTTATATATTCTCCACGCTCACATATGACTGAATTTATTAATTACCTGTATGACTCAATCTCCTCATCATAATTCTTCTCATTCATAGGAACAAAGTTTGCCAGCTGTGTAACCTTTAGTTGCTGGTTCACGTTACACATCCTGCAGAGACCGTTTTTGGGTGGACTACTTTGGAATACCTTTGGTGTCTGGTTTGTTTTTTCAGTAAACGCAGGAATTGGTTTATTGTAGTCTCCATCCTAGAATTATAACAAGATGATAATAAATGTGTGTTGTTGTCAGGGTACTGAATCAGCTGTAGGGAACAGTTTGAACAATAATAATAATTCATAAGACAGAAAATCTATCAGTGAAAGATTAAGGCCTGCCAAGTTTCTGAATGTTATTCTATAAATAAAAATATATAAAAACTGAATTTATTTGACGGGCGTTTTCCACCAGAGCTGAAAGTTTGCCAAAATTAGCATGTAAAAAATTATCTAGCATATGAACGTAATGTAATAACACCACTATAAATTGTGATAATAACACCACTACATTGTGATAGGGACGTTTAAATACATACATTATGTAATAGATAATTTTTATCAGGATTTCTGGAGATTTTCAATAACCTTACCTTGGTAAATCCATTATACTGTTCACATATTCGGCACGTCCAGCTATTACGATCCGGATATTTAATCCAGAAGTTATTATTGCAGAACCAACAATTCACGCGCCAAGGCAAAGCTGACCTGAAAAATAATACATTATAATATAATTTTTTAATGATCTTAGCGAGCGGGAAAGCGTTATCCTTAACCTCACTTACTAACCGTAATTTGTAAAGTAATTTCATGAGTAACACAATACATAAAACAATGGCTATACTAATCAGTAGTGATTCGATTTTATAAATATATTTCATTTTCGTCACGTTTCAAATAATTTAAAAAGCTTAATTTCTTAACCTAGACGTACACCCATTTTGTATCTAATATATTACTATAGACAAAAAATGCAAATCCATAATCTAGTGTTGCTAACTTTTAAAATCTGAACTGCATCATCTCAATACAAAGAAGTCGGTTGCTAAAAAGTCGTTAAGTAGTTTGGTAAGTTGCACAAGTGACATCTAATCTTTAAACATGTTACAATAGTTATTGTATAGTTACTCTATAGATAAATCAATGGATAACTCCATTCTTTTTTTTTTTTTTTTTTTCCTTCTTTTTTTATTTATTATTGTATTGGGGTTTTTATCCACATGGATACGTCAACCCCATCGTGCCTTATGCTATCTACCTTCAACACATTCTTAAAACTAATAAGAGAAAGAGAAATACTAATCAATGAAGTAAACTAATTGACTTAGTCTTTTTGCCACTTCTGATTTTGGTTGTGCCAAAATTGTTTGTACCAACCCCACGTCTAAAATATTTAATTTAAATTCATTGATTAGCTTCTCCCTTTCATTTTTATTCCTGACACAATCCATGAGCAAATGTTGTACATCCTCTACCACGTTACATGTAATACAGTTAGGTGAATTTGTTTTTTTCATTAGGAATGCAAACTTTGCTGATGGAAAGTGTCCGGATCGCAATCTTAGAGCTAACTTAATGTAGTTTCTACTTAACCTACTACAGTTAAACCAGGGTATACGAGGAACTTCGTCTTGAATTGCCTTGTACCATATTCCTTTTTCTTTAGATATAGTGTTAAAATGTTCGTTCCAATTATCAAAACATTTAGTTTTAAATTTAGATACATATTCTACATAATCTGGTAAAAAAATATATTCGACACCTGCCGTCGCCGCCAATTTAGACAGACGATCCGCTTCCTCGTTCCCCCGTAAACCAATATGCGCTGGAACCCATTGCAACTTAACCACCGAGTTCCTTTTAACATACAATAAAATGACGTTTAATATTTCGTAAGCTATCGAAGCACCTCTGAAACCAGAGGCGCATCGAGCCACGTGTTGCAGTGCACTTTTACTGTCTGTAAAAACCACTACTTTATTGTAATTTTTTCCCAACGCATAGGACAAAGCTTGTAATATTGCAATGAGTTCCAACGTCATAATAGATACTTCTGAACTTATTTTAAAACCTGCTCTGTGATTACAACTATGATCATAAAAACCTGCACCTAATCCATGAGCGCCCTTAGACCCATCAGAATACAATTTATTCCAACCCCTATAGTTCGTATTTAACTCTTCTACAACATTATTTATCAAAGTATTAGGCTCATAGTAAGATTTCGCTAGTGATATGCTATCTAAATTAATACTGACACATTTTTGAAAATCAATAGCCGATAACCAAACCTCGAAAGAAAACATTCTAAGAATATCAACAGAATCGCAATTAATTTGTTTAATATCTTCAAATGTTTGTGTCAGCAAAGGCTTTTTTTTAGTAGCCCAATATCTGATGTGACATAGAGCACTCATTTCAGAAATTAAACTATTAATATTATTTACGGACCAAGATCTAATTTTTAATGAATATTTGTACGCTAGATATTGTCTCCTAATAAACAGAGGCGGAATGTGCAACTCACTCTCCATGACATGAATAGGTGAGCTTTTGATAAATCCCCCTACCACTCTCAATGCCTGGTTCTGAATTTTATCAAGTTTACAAATATGACTTTTAGCACTACAATCATATAGGAAGGACCCATAGTCAATACGACTTCTAATTAGGGATATATATAGTCTTCGTAAATGTGTCATGTGTACCCCCCAAGAACTACCCGCTAATAACTTTAATATGTTTAGAAATTTGGAACATTTATCGACCACCTCATTGATATGCTTTCTCCAGTTTAAGCCCCTATCGAGCCACATACCCAGATACTTTATATTTTCAGAATAAATCAGAGGGCTGTCTATTTTTAGAATAGGTAAATTCCTTCTATGTCCTCTGCTAAAAAGACAATATTGCGTCTTGTTTGAAGATAGTGCCAATCCTAGGTCCTTTAGTAATTCTACTACTATATTCAAAGCATTCTGAACGTACATTTCACAGAGTTTAATATCCTTATTACTAATATATACAACGAAATCATCAGCGTATTGCAATGCAAATACATTTTGTAGCCTATGACATATTTTGTACGTAACCAAATTAAAAAGTAGTGGAGAAAGTGGATCTCCTTGAGCTAAGCCATTGTTAGTATTTCTGCTTACCATATTATTGTCAATTAATTTTATCTTTAAATGCCTCTCACTTAAAAACGACCAGAGATATTTACAGGTCCTCGAACCGATGTTTAATTTATCAAGTACGTTTACTGCTACATCAATTGAAATGTTATTGTAAGCGTTCTCGATATCCAAGAAACAAGCTAATGTTGGCATATTTTTGGAAAAACCAATCTGAGTGTACGTAACTAATTTAGTCAAACAGTCCAAGCAGGATTTTGATTTTCTAAACCCTATTGTAAACGGTGATAGTATTTTTTCTTTTTCGGTATACCACTCTAATCTTTTAAAAATCATCAAATGAAATGTTTTACATATACACGAAATTAAGGATATGGGACGTAATTTAATGTCACCATTATTATTATTGGTTTTGGGAATAGGAACTATTTCGATGTTTCGCCATTGAGAGGGAATCACACCATGTTTAAAAATAATATTATATACAGCAAGTAAATAGTTTTTAGCTATACACGGTAAATAGTAAAGCATGGTATAAGATATACCGTCTTCACCTGGAGATGAATCTTTCTTTTTTAAAACGCTTTGAAGTTCATGAATCGAAAAGTCCTTTTCCAAAGCTTCATTTCTAGACGTGAAAATGGGTTCTGAATTAGAAGCATAATCTGCAGTTAGAGAATTTAATAGATCCGTACATTTTTGTATAGAGGGGTACACCTTTGCTTGTTTAAACCCTTTTACCCATTTCATACGCTGCCAAATATTAGAAGCTGAAACTTGTTCATTAAAGGAGTCACAAAACTTATGCCAACTATCCGATTTTGCTTTTCTAATTAACATTTGAGATTTTTTTGTTACATTCTCTAACTTTGTAAGATTATCAGGCGTAGGGTTCCGTCTAAAGTTAACCAAAGCCAACCTCCTCTGTGCGACTATTTTAGACAATTCTGGACTCCAATAATCCTTTGGTTTGAATTTGTTATCGGGCTTATTACATATTTTTACGAAAGGTATGTGTTTATCCGCCGCAGTATTAATTATACTTACTAGGTTGTCATATATTTTTTGAATGTTTTCGTAACTATGATTAACCAAATTAGGATTTTCTGAAATATTCTGTAAATACTTATTCCAATTTGCACGTTTATAGTTGCGTTTTCTTACATACCTGAAATCATTTGTGATGTTTAACGACATCCTAATTATTAGGTGATCGCTTCCCAAATTTTCATTACTAACTTGCCAATAGAATTTGATAGCTACGTCGGAAGAGGCAAACGAAATGTCGGGCGAAGTTTGTTGTACATGACCATTTACCAATTTAACTCGTGTGAAATCACCCTTATTAATAGATATAAAATTATTCTCTAAAGAGGAATCCATAATTTGGCAACCACGCACATCAGTTTTAACTGACCAATTACTATGATGCCCATTAAAATCCCCACATATCAAGGTTTTCCTCGAAAAATGTGAAAAAATATCATCCCAATCCGAACCTTGAGTGCGTACGTTAGACGGGCAGTATACAGAAACCACATATTCTAAGTCCTTGCAGTTGATCAACCTTACACAAACCATTTCTATACCTGTATTGTTTACATGAAATACTTCTAAATAGGACTGAATAGTCTTATGTACAATAATAGCAACGCCACCGTATGAGTCATCTCGATCTTTTCTATAAATGTTATAACCGTTAATATTTATGTAGGATTCAATATCTAGCCACGTTTCGCTAATGATCGCTATGTGAATATTTTCCCGTGTTAAAAGGTCTGTAAATGTTGTCAATTTCGGGCGTAGACTTTGAGCATTCCACTGTACTATATTAAGCCTAATATAATCAGGTGTATTATTCATTACAAAGATCAAAAAAATATTCTAATAAATCACCTCTTAATAACTTACTAACAACAAAATTCTTTACTTCCTCCCATATGATTTTAATAACCAACAATGTTTTTTCTTCAAAGTTAATTGCAGACGTAATAACACGTTTAATTTTAAACCAAAATTGCTTAAATTCAAATTTATTTTTCAAATCAGCCTCTCGTTTTTTACTTTCCTGTGTATTATGCAATTCTTGATACTCAACTTCCATATTTGATTCCCTGCAACTATCTATACTCTCCACTCTTTTAGGCACGTTTTTCGATCTTCTGTTCGCATTTTGTACCGAATTTTTACTAAAATTAATAGCACTTTCCTCGGAACTTTCGTTCAAATTTTCTTCTACTATTTGACGAGCTGCCAGCCGTGGTTGATGTACCGAACCGTTGTTGACTACACTACTATAGGTATTTTTGTCGTTGACTGTACTTATTGATGTGGTGTTTATTGATGTGATAATCCTCTCTTGAATACTTTTATTTTTATTCTTCCTCATTTCAGCATATAACTGTAGGGCTTTTCTATACGTAACCTGCTCTTTACTCATTATATTTCTTATTTCTTTTTCTCTAACGTAAAAAGGACATGTCTTCTCTAGAACTAAATGGTCACCTTTACAATTCAGACATTTAAACACTTTGATATCACAGTTATCATGACTTGCGCTACCGCACTTGGGGCATAAAATCTTTTTAGAGGGGCAGAACTTTTTTATGTGACCGAATTGCCAACAACCTGTGCATTGCGTTACTGGAAAACTATACGTATCTACTTTAAAACGGCACCCATATGCACTTATATACTGCGGCAGAATACCACCCTTAAAACAAATTTTAATCGCTTCACTCGCCACCCAAGCGCCATCGAAATTTAACCTATTCAATCTCTTCAAGGTCAAAATTTCAACTTCACATTCCATGATTTTCATTAATTCTTCATCACTCATGTCAAGGTCAATACCTTTCACTACTCCATGAATCACATTTAATTCATGTGTAAATTGGGTACGCAATCCCATCTCTTTTAATGTTTCACATTCCATCAACTTCAAGGCACATTCCCTTTTAAAAAATGAAATAATTGCTTTGTTTACCTTTTTATACTTAATACGATCAATACCTGTAATATTTTGAGATCGTAATAACTTTGCCATCGCAATCTGTTTAGGTAAACATTCTAAAGAAGTGATACATACTTCGTGCTTTTCAACGCATTCCTTCTCTTTGTTATTTTTTTCTAAATCTACCCCCACATTTGTTTGTGTACTCGACGAATCTCTCCTGATCAACCGTTTACTCCTTCTTCGAGTAACCGTAATAAAACCCTCTTCGTCACTATTTAAACTGCCTTCCTCACTATTTTCTTCTCGCTCTTTTCTTTTCAACGTATTCTTGTCTACACTTTCATTCATTTCTGTTGTTGAACTTTTCTCACCAGATTCCCCCAGCTCTCGTTCTACCCTCTCTAAATACTCCGAGTCACTCATATCCTCCTCAAGATTAACTTCATCCATCTTGTGACCGAAACCACAAATAAAAAAAAAAAAACCGTATCTCGTTACGAAATAATGTACGTGCTCACTGTACGATAGCTCACGCGACACTCCAACTCCATTCTTAATGTTGTCGAAATTTCATCTTGCATTTTTTTTCAAGTTAAAAAATTAATGTGTCTATTGCCTAAGGGATCATTTCAGAACCACATTTTTTATGTTCACACTTATCTAGTTTAAGGGAAATATACAAACTCTTTAACCTATCATAATAGATGATTACAAAGCCTCCAGTCACAGGCAGTCAATTTCTTAAAGAAAATGGTTCTTTCTTTATTATCATTAGGTTTTCTTTAGGGCAGAGTGAGAGGTGACAATAATTTGAGATAAGTTCAGTAATTATTTCTTAGTAGGAATTAACAAATAATCAATTTACTTATCTTAAATTATTCATAGGGTTATTAATGTGGAGGCGATGGATGAAGAATACGGAGGGACACCACTGGTATTTATCCCGCGGATGTCGTAAAAGCCGACTAAGGGAGTAAATTACACAGACAACAGCACCAACCCGTTCAGCCAGCGTGGTATAGTAGGAGGCCAAAACCTCCTTTCTAAGGAGAGGCCTATGTCCAGCAGTAGATTATGAAAAGATGATGATGATGATTAGGAACCCAGCAGGAAGAAGGAAGCAATATAATTTCTTCTAAATATTAACAATAGATTGAAATTTTCACAGCAAAAATATTTTTTCCTAGTAAATTTTCTATGACTTCTTTTCAATTTCTTGTAAATGTGGATAACCTAAGCAGGTACTCATATTTTTAAAGTTATCAAAGGTTGATGCTTCTCTTTCTTGATCTACCAAGTTTATCGGAAACAAAGGCAGTATTATGCAAACATTAGAGTCAAAAGTTAACTTCTATCTATGGTGGACGAAAAAATTCAGTTTTGAGGTTATCCGTCAAAACGCGATGTAAACATTGTGCAGTCTAATCTGAATTCATTCTAATTTGAAATTAAAGCTTTTTTCCCATTTAAATTAAATCAATAGGCCTAGCATGTCGCCTGAGGATATATTGTATTTGTGCAATTACGATGATCAAGTCCATACTGGTGAGATTAAAATTCTCTCACTCTCAACAACTCACCGTACTTACGAAATTAAATCGAAATGTTACATTTTTATTTTTTTTTTGCATATATAAATTGACTGACACAAATTATACACAAATGAAGCATCACCATTTGAGGCGAAGAACCCTGGCGGCAATTATGACTACCTTCATATTTTCATGACTTGAGAATTTTTCCGTGTGAAACTACGCAAGGATAACAGCACTGCAGAGAGAAGGAAAACTTGATTAGCCTTATACCAACCCATCTGGCCAGCGTGGTATTGTAGGCAAAAACCTAGTTTCTAAGGAGATTCCTATGTCCAGCAGTGCACTATCAGAGGCAGTTGATGTGATGTGTGCAATGTAATGATGTGATAACTTTTCTTTTCTTTCCAGATAATATTAGTGTTAATAAGTTATGGACAGAGAAATGGTCAGTAAATGAAATAAATTTGTGCAAAGATATATTATTGACCGGACTTGAAACAGAAGTTCTGAAAGATGCAATAAAAAAACATCAAAATGATAAGAAGGCAATGGACGACATACTTTTTGCGTCAGTCAGTTCATTTTTAACTTTTTGTGATCGCAATTGGAGTCCGTACCCAACTGAATTTGCTGTAGATACATTCTATGGTATTCCATGGCCTAAAGACATTGATGCCAATATTAGGCTGCAGAGAGATTCCGAGCCATTGTATGTTAACATTTTGCATTCTGAGCTACTGTATTACTCGACACAAGTTTTTAATGCTTTGTGCTGTGCTGATCAGAGTTTGGTAAGTAAATGTTATATTATTAACATGATTAAAAGACACTAATATTTGGTTTAAATTTTATTTAAAAAAATAATTAAGCACTACTTCTTCCTTATAAAATCGCTTTTTATCTTTTATTATTACTACACCCTAGTGCGCCTTTGCTACGCTACAATTGTAGTATAGTATTACACATCCTTTTACAATAAACAGACTAACTAATCAGAAAATTTTTTGCTATGGCAGTCCTTTGTTTCATGTAGCATGTCACCACACCTCTTCATTCCATCAGTGTTGCATGGCCTGCAGATAAATATAGCATTATGTGGCTAAACTATCTGCAGAACTCACAGAAATATATTGTGTATGACTTAAGTAACATATATATAATAAGTTATAAAACAGGATTACATCAGGCTAAGATTTCAGACCAAAGACAAGACAAAATTTTAGGATAGTAATAATGAAATGACCTATGACTAACAGCTATGTTCAAGTCTAGAAATCAATTCAATGCAAGCAATGTCATCTAGCATCTCTTTTTCAGGTAACATTTTTTGCATAGACAAAATATTATAACTTTCTTTTTTTCATTTCAGTTACATCTGTGGTGGTACTTCAGGAGTAAAGTGGTTCATCAGAGAGTTCTAGAAGATACTAGTGCCACATTATACTCGGAACTAGAGATTATCATAGCCAAGCTGTCTAACCTTTTATATACAATACAGGACAAGCCAAGACTCCAAATATTGCTTTGTTTGGAAATAGCTCAGGCTTATTTGATTTATGGAAGGATTCAGAGAGTTGAGGAGTATCTGATAAGAGCCAGAGATCTTGCAGGATTGAAATTAGAGTTAACAGGTACAACAAAATCTATACTAATCCATACTTCCATACTAATATGATAAATGCGAAAGTGTGTCTGTCTTGTTCCTCTTCACTCTTAAACTGCTGGACCAATTTAGATGAAATTTGGTATAGAGATAGTTTTGAGTCTCGGGAAAGGACATAAGATAGTTTTTATCTCAGATAACATCCTTTATGGGGGGTGGACGTTTCGATGGGATATCAATAACCACTAAACCAATTTAGATGAAATTTAGTATGGAGATAGTTTAAGTTGTGGGGAAGAACATGGGCTACTTTTACCGCGATAACCGACATACACGCAGGTGGAGCTGAAAAGCTAGTATATGATAGTTTAAATATTTAATACCAGCTGCCGCAGCCTTAGTGAGTTCGATTCCCGGACCAGGCAAAATTTTATAGGGTTTTTCTGAGAGAATAAAATAGCCTGAGTTACACCTTATATAGACAGCTACTTGGTACTAAAATATTATCAAAATCGATCCAGCCGCTTTGAAGATTACCTGGAACAAACAGACAGACAGACAAAAATATTGACCATGAAAAAACCTATTATTTAGACATTTAAATTTTATTTATTTGTAAACTATTACACTCACTCATTGATTTCATTAATATAATAATTATTAAAATTCATCTTCATTATTCTGTGTGGTGATGGATTAAGAATACGGACTGTCACCACATCTATTCATCCCGGGAGTTACGTAAGAGCCGACTAACTAACTAAACCCTATACCAACCCGTCTGGCCATCAAAACCTCCTTTCTAAGCAGACACCTATATCCAGTAGTGGACTATTAAAGGCTGTTGATGATCTTTATTAATTTATACATCTTTTTACAGGTATTCTTGGTAAAAGAACAAAGTTTCAGCAAAATTCTCTACCACAGCTTGCATTAACCAGTGAGCTTGACTCTGCTGTAGAAAGACCATCAGCTGAAGAGAGTCATGGCAATTCTGAACTACCTCCAGAAATTGAGTTACAGGATGATGTTAGGCTCAATAAGATAGAGTATGCCGAAAAGATCAGCCAACCTGACCTGCCTAGTTTGGAGCAAGTCTTGTGTTTGTTGACTGTGTGAGTATAACCCTGTTATATATTTGCTCTAAACCTTCTATCCTAAGATGTGTAGTAAGTATTAGATATTCGGTATTGTTTTGTGTTAGTTATTTAAAATCACTTCAATAAACATAATATAATTAGAACTTTCTTTATCTTTTTTTCTTTATTATCTTTTACTTCAACAATTTCTTTTTATTTCTTTAAACTCTTTTGTTTACAATGATTACTATTACTAGATGCAGTTGTTTAATGTACACATTAAAAAACACAACTCTCATAGCATATTAAAAGTTATCATCTATACAAAATAATAAAATTGGAGTGTCTGTTTGTAATGTCAAGATAATAGTTTTTTTTTTTAATACTCACATGGTTATTTGCACGATACCTATGCCTAAAACCAGTCAAAATATTTTTTGTCTGTTCGTCTGTCTGTTTGTTCTGGGTACCAGGTAGCTGTCTATATAAGGAGTAATTTAGGCTATTTTTCCTGTCAGGAAAATCCTATAATATTTTGTCCAGTCCGGGAATCGAACCCAAGGCCTCATGATTTGCGATCGCGTGCCGTACTACACCACTAAGGCAGCAAAATTCAACGCGAATGAAGTCGCAGGCACCAGCTAGTTCTTCATAAATCTATGCTTGCAATTATGTACAAGTATTTTGAGAGTTATTTACAATGTTGTCATTTGTATATTCATTCCAGTCAATACATAATGAAGTCTCAACCAAAAGACGCTATTATGCTTGAAGAAATCCAGCCTTATATTGAAGCAGTACTTAGTCAAAAGAAAGGTGCTTGGTCCACTAGAGTTGGTGCTCTACTCATTAGATGTAAAGTTGAGGCAACACACAAGAGAACAGTAGAGAGAGCCATGTTGCAGTGTGAGACTATAGTGAACGATAAAACCAATGCTAGTGCTACAACAAGGTAAAGTCTGGCTTTTTTACACAATTTTTAACAGCTTTTTAACTAAAGAATACGTCTAAAAGTATAATGTACGCTAGCATGCATTCCTACTGCTTGAAAACTTACTTTACGTCCATGCAAACGCCCATAAATTCGTACGTCCTCGATCCTCCCCTTCTTTTTCCGACTCGAAACGACTAAAAACCGAACGCCATCTAAGGTAGCAGTAGCCGAGGAACACCCTGCCAGACCTCAATCCTCTCCTAACCATAGAGAGAATACAGGGTACAGCTGCCTATAAGTGTAAGCGAGAGACATGGATGCCCGATAGTTCCCTCTGTCTCTATTTAGAAGAACTGCGATTGGCTATCGTAAAGTGGGCATGGTTTTGATTATAGCATTTCGGGTGCCTATTGTTTAAATGTGTGAAATGGAATACTTTTATTTCCTTACTAACTTATACTACTTTCCATTCCAGGTTGTCTTATTTATGGGCTACTGGTCTACAACCATCATGGATGTGGCGACAACAGCTGGCTGATCTGTATCTGAGCCTTGGCCTTGTAAAGGCTGCGCTTGAGGAGTACCAGAAGCTGCAACTCTGGGAGGATGTTATTGTCTGTTACACTATGCTGCAATTACGACATAAGGTATAGTCTTATGTATCTATGAAAAATCAGTATGACAGTAAGCAGTTAGGTTAAAAATGTCATAGTAATACCTTGAAGCATATGTGTACACAGCCGTGTGATGCCAATGACTGCATGGATGGTGTAGTGAATTAAATAGTCACCTCTTCCTCACAGGCTTCCTACTGGACTGAGGGTTCGATCCCCACATGGCACAACACTTATATATAGTCAATATCTATTACTGGACAGCACTAATTTCTGTACATATACGTAATTAATATTAATAATATTTTCACACACTACCGTCTTAGTAATTAGTTAAATGTTCATAATGTTGTTTTTGTTCCCTAGGCGGCAGAAGTGATACAACAACAAATAGATGTAAATCCTACTGTCAAACTCTACTGTTTGTTAGGAGATGCTACTGGTAAGTTAAAACAGGTCTTGTTATATTTTTAAGATCCCAGTCCATACTATTTTTTAACCAGAATTTTTTGGCTAAACACGAAAAGGAAATCATACACATTGTCCTAAATTATGTAATGCCACATGTAAATGATTAATTTCTACCATTTTTTTATGTAATATTTTCAGATGATGTTCAGTACTATGAAAAAGCGTGGGAGTTCTCCAATCATAAAAGTAGTAGAGCCCAAAGACATTGGGGTAACTTTCTATTCGACCACAAGAAATATGAAGAGTGCATCCCACATTATGAGCAGTCGGTCAAGATAAATTCTATACAGGAGAGTGTGTGGCTACGATTGGGGTAAGTAAAATGTATCAAAATTGTTACCAATTTTCCATAAAAATTAAGATAAAAAAATACTGCTTGTTTAGCTACATATAAACTAAAAAGTTGCATACTGTGAAAATTTGCAGTGTGTGTAATTCTTTTATAACTGTACTAGCTTGACTGCACGGATGGCGCCGTGGTTTAAGCGGTCGCTTCGGTTCTCAGTCTTGGTGTCCTTTGTGTCCGTTTAATGTATGTTTGTAAAGTCGACACAGGATATATTCCTATTGCGGAAGTTGTCTTTAAAAAAAAAGCTTTTTCCTAAATTACGATCAAGACTTTTTTATTACAACAACACGAAATTAATGGATTTCTGTATTCCTGTATTCCATATTAAAATATTGTTATTGTTCAGTTATGCTGCTCTAATGTCCGAGAAATGGGAGCTATCAGCGAAGGCGTACCGTCGCTACACATATTTACAACCAAACACTTTCGAAGCATGGAACAATCTCGCTAAAGTGTACGTTCAACAAGGAGATAAACAGAGAGCATATAGAGCACTTATGGAGGCGTTAAGGTTCAATTATGATAATTGGAAGGTAAAATAATTTACGGAATTTTTGAAAATTAAAAATAGTTGTGTTTGTATAGCTTGATATTCACGTTTCAGTTGTGGGAGAATGTAATAATGGTCAGTATGAATACGGGTCACTTCGAAGACGTGATTCGAGGCTGCCATCGGATACTAGACTTGCAGCATAAATTAGAAGATATTGAAGTGTTATCCTTATTAGTGCGCGCTATCGTCGAGGATACAAAAGACGCAGATGGGCATGGTGCTGGCAGGTATGATCGACTGACTTTAAATAATATTTGAAACTAGGTTTTGCCCAAAGCTCTACCCGCATGTATATCGCTTATCGCGGTAAAAAGTAATCTGAACCACTCAGGGATAACGTATCTTTCTAACAGTGGATTTTTTTCGAAATCGGATCAGTAGTACCAGAGATTACCCCAAACCTACAAACTCACAAACTACCTCTTTATAATATTAGTATAGGTTCATTACCCTCGCAGAGTTTCATCTGAAGTTTTAAGCCATACGGCAATAACTGCATGCACATTGACTAATACTTAGTCAGACGTTCTTCAAGTATGAAACTATAAGTACTTGGCGACCTCGACCTCTAGTGCTAAATTAATACTCTAGTCTAAAAGCTACTACTGCTACTTGACCCGAAATTTCTCGAACATCCAGATTTTGGTAAAAGAAAGTCTAACCAGTTTAAATGATTAAAATCTTCATTCGGAAATTAAAGTTCTGTATTAAAATACGTTTTGACTTTCAGATTACAGAAAAGAGTACTTGAGTTATTTGGAAGAATAACTTCGATACATCAGAACAAACCCGAAATATGGCAGTTGTATGCAGACATAAGTCCTACTTATTTATTAAGAGCTCAACGCTTGCAGAAAGCCTATAAAGGTTATACACAGGTAGAGAAATTGTTTAGTTTTACAAATTATTTTTCAAAATCGATTTAAAATTTCTAAACAACTGTTTTGATAATGTTTCAGAATGGTAATTGGCCCACCAACCCAAATACATGTAAAGTCATTATAGCACTTGCCCAAGATCTTATGGAAACTAGTCTAAAAGCTAGGAAAGAAGCTGAAGAAAAAGACATAACACAAGCCAATCAACAACTATCTTCTGCAAGATTGACTGGCCAAGCCGTCATAAGGGCTGCTGAAAGACAAGACTGGCCCGATACCAAGACTAGTCTTGAAACTTTAAATGATTTATTTTCTAATGTTTCTGAATATATGAAATCAATAATGTAAAACTACATCGTTTTATTTCCTACCGACCGTGTCTTTGATAATGTTCTGGATCGCATTTTAAATGTTATTATGTCAATCACGTCAGAATAGAATATATCTGCTATTGTGGAGTAGATCACTCATTAACAGAAGAACAGTGTAGACTCTTTCATAATGTTACTACACCATCCGATAATTATTCAGGATACTCTTAGCTTCTAAATATTTGTCCCAAACCTCAACTCATAGATATTCAACACCCCTGTATCGAGATGCTCGTGAATCATGCAGTTATTGTTAATAGAGAAGTAGTAGAATCCGGGAATCATTCAGTTGCTTTTTTGAGAATCTACTAAGGAAGTAGTTTTGTTTATGTATTGCAACATTAAAATGTCAATGTGGTAAAAAACGTTTAGTTTCTAAAAGGCTGCAAAAGATTACATTAATTGTTATTAATTCAAGAGTTAACATATTTATAGTCAGTAAAGTAAGAGTGACACGGACTCAAAAAAATAATTATTATTTCAAGAAATAATTAACAATATTTCCCTAACGTATTTAAATGGGTAAATGCTAACAGCGTTGTAACAAAACGAAGTGTTGATGTCAAATGATGTCTCTGACTTAATTGTGCGAAGGGGTGTATAAATTTCTTTCGTGTTGCTGTATTTTGAATTATAAATAAACAATTTTTGTGTACACTTATAATGTCTTATTAAAAATTAACTATGGCTGCGGCTAACGACGAGGAGATATTGGAAGGTTTCCTCTGTCCTATATGCAAAGCGGATTTAAAATCCGCCTCGCAACTTACGAGTCATTTCGAGAGTTTACACCAGGAAGAACAGGATGTTCTAAAGTCTTTAAAAGAAATATTCGGCAAAGCAAAGAAGATTATACTCAATAATGACGATACGGACTTAAAAGAGACATTTGATCGAGCGTTAAAGTTTAGCTACCAGGAGAGTTATTATTTAAATGAGGAACAAACAGTGGGTGTGTGCAGGAGTACCACAGACTACCTGAAGGCTGTGAGAGGTGCGCGCCTGGAGAGGTATGCGACCGAGACTAACAAACTGCTAATAAGGCTGGATAAACTTGTATGTAATATGCCCACTGAACCTAATCAAAGGAAACTTCATGAACAGGAAGTGAGTACCTAACACTTAATTTAAAAACCTAGTGCTGAAAATCTGAACTGACATTGAAAAAACTGTTTTATTTATATTTGAAGGTGAATTTTACATTCGTTAACAATTTTTTTAGTTTTAAATGAACAAGTTGTAATCAGATTGCGGAAGGGCAATTTGGATTGCTCAAAAATCATTACTGATTCCATTCCATTTATAATATATTTCTATAAAGGTTAAAATATTGTAAAATTGTATGTAAACCTCATCTCTTCACCTCATCTTGATGAGATCTAGTGTTTATGAGTTTATCAGAAGCCCGGTTACCGTAATATTGGAATCAGATGACTGAATCTGGGGTGTTGCGAGCTTCAGTGTAGAAAAGAATGAATTATTATTATCTGGATTATGTCTTTCTGTCTAGTTTGATGTTTTATAAACTGATAACAGCAAACCAAATTAATTGATATGAACATACTTAGGGATTAAAGCAACTGATATTAAGGTGAATAGTATTTCTATACCTATTCTATTCATTTGTATAATTTTACTTATCATACTTGATAAATGAAACAATTGAACTAAAAATTACTTGATTTCTTGACCAAGAAATCATAACTAAAAATGTTATGTGTTTTTAACTCTCCAAATACAAAAAAATATCTATAGAAAATTATAAGATTAGTGGAGGCTTCGCACAGATGCAATGTATTAACTAACAATAAATAAATAAACAAAAAAAATACTACTAATATGGTGTCAGTGTGGAGTAATGAATTATACTATTATTATGATAATACTATACTACTGGATATCTTTGTATGAAATATTTATAGACCTGCTTTGCTTCTGCTGGCTGTTGCCACCCTATGGCCCACTGCGACAATGCCCTCTTTGAACCTCTAATTTAAATCTCTGATATCTACTAAGATATTAATTTTAATGATATGTTGTAAAAGGAAATTTTGATCTACATTAAATGCATAATGTACCTTATGTATTTATTTGGACATGTTGTGCATTTAATGTAGATCAAAATTTCCTTTTACAAAATATCTTTAAAATTAATAGCATTTACACTCTTGTGACTCCTAAGTTGCAGGCGTTCATGGGCGGTGGTAGTTGCTTTCCATCAGGTGACTCGTCTGCAAGTTTGCTCCCTCTTCCATAAAAAAAATTTGGATAAGGCATAATACTGTATTATTCCAAATAGCTTCATAAATAACCCATTATTTTTTATTATTTTAAAAAATAAATATAGTTACTGTAGGATGTCCTTAGGAGATAGGCATATACTATCACGGACTTTTTGTAGATCTTTTAAGATTATATAATTCAGTAGTAAATCATTTTCATCCATCTCTTAAGTTTTAGCCAGCGTTTGCGATGTAAGCGCACAAAAACATGTTTTTCATTACTTCACATTACAAATCTTTCAAATTTTCGGATTTCCTCTACTATAATATGCATTTATTATACATATAAACCTGCCTCTTGAATCACTCTATTGATTAAAACCGAATTAAAATCCTAGTATAGTTAGAAAGATCGAGGCGTACAAGACAAAAGCGACTTTATTTTATACTATGTAAAGATAGCAAAAAAGATAGAGTAGCCATCATGTAAAACAATAATTTTTTTGCTATCAAAGTTATGAGTAATAGCTTGTTACTAATCAATATATATAGTCCGTGTGGTGACGGATTAAGAATACAAATTGTCACCACCCCAATTCATCCCGTGGGTGTCGTAAGAGCCGACTAAGGGAGCAAACTAAGCAGGACAACAGCACTGCAAAGAGAAGGAAAACTTGAAACAAACCCTATACCAACCCGTCTGACCAGCGTGGTATAGTAGGCCAAAACCTCCTTTCTAAGGAGAGGCATATGTCCAGCAGTGGACTAGTATAGGCTGTTGATGATGTGTGATGTGAATAAATATAAAACTGTTCTATAAAATAAATAGTATGTTTAATTCCAGGTAGTACCTTGGTTGGATGGTTCTTCAGTGAAGTTATGTCCAAATTGTGCAAAAGCATTTAACTTGACGCGAAGGAAACATCACTGCAGATTGTGTGGTTCAATTCTGTGTCATGACTGCTCTTTGTTTCTTGATATTGATATAGCTAGTAAGTGCTTTTTAGTTTTTGTGTTCAATATCAATAATAATAATAACCTCACACATCTCACACGGCTGTCTGTAGCCTGTTCTATTGTAACTAGACTGCTGATAAACATACTTATATATTTCTAAATACATACATTTCATAGGTACATTACACCCAGACACAGAAAAAAATATCGTACTCATCACATAATTATTTGGCAGACAGGCCAGTCGTGAAATAGGTCCCTACGTAAAGTAAGAATGAATAGTGCAAGCTATGGTTAAATTTTATTTTTATTACTATAACAAAAAATTAAATAAATGGGCGAAATGGCCAACTCAGATTGCAAGGGTTTTTTTTTAAATTTATTTATCACATAAACAAGATGACAGAATAGGTTTACATAAAATGACGGTCTCTAAAGAAACCAGACAGATAGCTAGTTCATATTATACACTCACTATAAACTAAATCGCAATTTAATAGTTTATTCATCATTGTCATCATCAACAGCCTATAATAGTTCACTGCTGGACATAGGCCTCTCCTTAGAAAGGCCTGTCAAAAGTCAATGTTACATTAGTTGTGAATAAAATTAAAAACCACAATTGTGAGTGTGTAAGTGATTTAACCGCAATGGATTTGCACTGGTGACTGTGGTATGTGTTACTGGTAATTGCTAAATAAAATTTCTGAAAATAGCTCCAATTCTATGTAATACATAGTATCAATGTCATGTCAGCATGCAGTCAGTGGTCGCAAACTACGTTTACCGAGTGTACTTACATAAAATTATTATAATGTGTTGTGTTATTGCCAAAATAAACGTTTCTTTCTTTCTTTAAATGTACTAGCTATTTGTTTACCGTTTAAAAGAGAATACCTTAAATTTGTATTGAAACTAGGCACAATTTTCACTTAATTATTATGTTATTTCATAAGCATAACACTTTGTTATTGTTAAAAGATTAGGCCCTTCTGATATGCATTTATCACTGTATGCTAAAACCTTTATTTGGCAGCAGAATACAAGAATATAGGACCTTTTCAACTAGACCACTTTCAGACAGTTCCTGGAAACCGTTCAGGCTTCATTTCATAACCTGTTTTATTATTTAAATAGGAGCTGTGGTAGATCCATCAGCGCCACATGCTTCTAATCAACCTGAACAAGAAATAACTGAAAAGAATGGCCTCCGGCTGTGTGAGCACTGCTTCAATCTCATCGAGTTACGAAAGCAGGTGCAGGACACTCGAAATGCGAAGACTGTGCTGATGACGGCTTATGAGCAGATGAGAAGTTTGATGGACCAGGCCCGACCTGCTGTCGCTATGTATGAAAAGGTAGATACAATATCATTATTTTATTTATTAGATTATTCGTCTAACGGTTAAATCTCGATTTACGATTCTCCCGAGTCCATAAGAATTCAAAATGCAGTTGCACAGAGCTGCGTAAGTACTTTAAAACTATTATAAATAAATGAAATAAATATTCATTTCATTTTAGTTATTATCATATTAATTAAAAATCTTTTTAAACAGCTTTTATTATAATGCCTTTGTGCACACTGCCAGAGGTCAAAAACAATTTCACTAAAAGTGCATGTCTATAAAATTTTGCAGAATATGTACAATGTACAGAATATGAATATATATATATGTTATATTTATATTTATGTATTGGCTTTTTAAAGATTGTTATTGTCACGTGAGACACTGCAGTGACGTTTGCTGCGTATATGGCTGTGAGCAGATGTGCATTGTCAACGCTTTTGGGCCGTAATTACTAATCTAGTGTAATATAATAGATCAATGCCAATTATAATTACCTTTTAGTAAAATTCATTGTAAAAAATATTTATGAAATATAACAAAATTACTATTTTAGTATTACTTATTGCAGAGTATTTATAAAATATAAAAATGGAGTAGCTTTTTATTTGAATATGTAAAGCAATGGCACGGCAAATCAAATATCCCATGTACAAAAGCAAAGCAAAAATGATAACGCTCAAAAGGTTTACAATCTCTACACACAACGGTCATCGCATCAGTGCGAGCGCGACGGCAATAGATATAGGCGTGAGAGACAGAGACAGGATAATAACGAGTACAATAATTTTAGCTTTCATCATTAGCATCTTCGATCTTATTTAGTAATGTAGCTGGGAGGAGGATGGTGAAGCTCTGCAGTAGTGACTAGAGTGACTAGTAAAGTTTGAACGAGTCCAATATTTTAGGCATGCTCCCGATGGTCTTATGATGAAGCCAGGAGGAGGATAGCGGAACTCCTTATACTTTCGAGTTTAGTTTTATAAGCGAATTTCTTGGTTATGCTAAAGCAACGAGGAGGGAACCAAAAGTATGGAATCGCCAGCGGTTAAGCGTTATTTCTCTGTCAGCTTTGCTAGTTACATCTAATATATAAAATTCTCGTGTCACGGTGTGCGTGGTTGAACTACGAAACGGCTCGACCGATTTACGTGAAATTTTGTGTGCATATCGGGTAGGTCTGAGAATCGGCCAGCATCTATTTTTCACAACACAATTTTTTTTAATTTTTTTTTGACATTTTTTTTTTTTAAATAATGTATATGGCAAAATAACGTTTGCCGGGTCAGCTAGTGACATATAAAAATGGCCAACGAAATGGCTATTGATTTAGAGATAAGAAGAGGGGCAGCTTAGTTCGTGCTGAGACTTCTCACCGGCGATCAAAGAGATTGGTTGCGTTTAAACCCACAGGACAGGAAGTGATAGCAACGACTCACCATGAGTCGTTGCTATCACTTCCTGTGTATATCACTTCACTATGTATATTAAAGTCAGTTTAGCTCACCTCTCATTCGCACTCGCAATTAACGCTATTGTCCAAACATTTTTATATTATTATGGAAATTAAATTAAAATAATTAATTAAAAGTTACTAATATACAGAAATTATAGCTGTTTTTGGGTATGTACAGTATAATTAAAAGAGTTATAATTAGTATAGTTAAAAAAAAATATAGTAATTAGTTTTAATTAGACGTTAAATTTTGCTTATACTGTTATCTTAGTCTTAATAGTTTAATAATGAGCTGAGAGCTTGCCTCTTTCAAAAGACTAACAAGAAATTTTGTGCCCAATATCATCTTCTTACCATCGTCCTTTTAAGCGGGTCATCAATTTCATATTTCCAGATGTGTCAAAGTCTCTTCGATGGTGAAACTACATACAACCTGACGGATGTGAACGCCATGCGCGGCCGCATTGGCAAGCTTGCAGAGGGTATCGACCTGCTGAGCAAACAGATCGCTACTTTCCCCACCGATCCTGGCACCAGGCAAGCCCGGCTACAGAATTCAATCAGACAAGCAGCAGCTCATTACATTAAGGTATAGCAAATGATTTTAACATTTTTTTAATGGTATAAGGGGCAAACGAGCAAACGGGTCATCTGATGGTAAGCAACTACCGCCGCCCATGGACACCTGCAATTCAAAAGTCACAAGTGCGTTGCCGCACTTGGAGTCCCTCCCGCTCGAGTCAGCGGGAGGGGGGATTTGGGCTCCGGTAACCTCAGTCACTCAGTGAAAAGCAACGAAAGAATTGCTTGACACAGGTTCTCTGTCCAAAGGCTAATATAAGCCCGATATAAGTTACGTATACGCACACGCAAATATGAACGAATACGCAAACGTCAATAAATACCCATTTTTTTAATTATTAGCAGAACACAAAAGTTGCCCTACTAATCAATGATCCCAATCTTGAGTCTAACTATCAAAAAATGGTTGAAACATTTATACAAATATGTGTCAGCACAACTCTCACGTTGTGCTTTAATTCACATTATGAAATTCGACATAAAATATAAAGAAAATTATACCGATTTTTTTGTATAAAACTACCATTTCATCATCATCATCATCAGCCTATTACATTCCCCAGTATCGATTTCCCCTTAGATCGATTTTCGGCTTCTCGCATCCAGCTCCTGCCATCTTGCGCAGATCGTCATTCGACCTAGCCTATGCCGTCCCATACTACGTTTGCCTAGACGCCGTCTCCACTCAAGAACTCGTTTACCCCAACGGTTGTAGGTTCTGCGGCTGATATGGCCAGCCCACTAATCTACCATCTTCTTTTTAATTGTTTTTCCAATTTCCAATTGTTTACAATTTATTTCATCCAACCTTGACATGCTCCGCCATTTGCATATGTGATAATTGATTTTTAACCGACTTCAAAAAAAGGAGGAGGTTCTCAATTCGACTGTATTTTTTTTTTTTTTTTTTTTTGTATATTTGTTACGCGATTACTCCGGCAATTATAAACCGATTTGAATAATTCTTTTTTTATTTGATAGGTCATACGTCAGAGGTGGTCCCATTGTCATTCTTAATAAAGATGGTGGATGTATTTATGTATCTTCTTTCCATTCCCTTCTTCCAATCTGTGGATGTGATTTCGTGAAATGCAACGTAAATTAGTAACAGAAAGCTATGGAAGCGCGCGGTATTAAATTTGAACTTGAGCCCATAATCTATTGTAAGCCAGACCCCTTATTTTCCACCGTTTCAGGAGGATCTCCTATCCCTTCGAAAATTACCAACAGAAGCTCAAATCGAGGAGGTGAGGCGACAGCGGTACGAGCGAGCTGAGAGGCAAATAAAAATGGAGAGAGAGAGAATGGAGAAGCAGCGAGACAGGATGGAGGAACTCGCCGGCCCCAGTGTCAGCCGGGTGAACAATGATGATGATGATGACAACCCGCTGTTGGAGCAAATGAATATCATCAGGGGATATATTAAGGAGGCAAGGAAAGAGTTGAAATTTGAAGAGGTGGGTGTCAATTTTTTTCTAAAGAACCAAACAAAACTATGCATGGATGGCGTAGTGGTTTAAGCAGTCACACACACACACACACACACACACAAGAAATTGTTGTTCTGAGTCTGCTGTGTGTCCGTTTCGTAAAGTCCCCCGCGACGCACAGTATATTCTTGAGGAGGCCTTTTTAATAATAATATGTATTTGAGGATTAACGTGATTTAAAAGTAATACTTACAAAGGTGCTATCATTGGCAAACTGTACTTCGGCATGTATGGATCGTCTCGACCTGAGTGACACTGAAAACCCGTGTTAGGCATTTTTGAAGTGAAAACTTCTTAAGGCGCGTTGGGCATTTTTGAACAACAAACAAAAGTATGTATTTTTTGAGATGAAAGAAAATCATTGAACTAGCGACACTGTTACCGTTACCGACACTTCTGTATATAAGTATTTACATATATTGGCCCCGTTTAGACGAGGGTTGAAATACATTGATAATATAACTATATCTTATATATAAAATTCTCGTGTCACAATGTTACTTACCATACTCCTCTGAAACGGCTGGACCGATTTTTATGAAATGTTGTGTGCACATCGGGTAGGTCTGAGAGTCGGCCAACATCTATTTTTCATCTTTATCCCTAAATGACAAGGGTGACCCCTATTTTTTTTTTTCATATTTCTTAGAAATAATGTATATGGCAAAACAACTTTTGCCGGGTCAGCTAGTATAATATAAACATATATTGTGTTGGTATATACGTTCAATATAGTTCATATTCATGTCGGCACTTTTCGAATCGAAAAAAAAACCGTTATAATAAAATAAAACCAATGCCACCTAGAGGCGAGTTGCTGAACTAAAGAGACAAGCGTGATATTTCAAAAAAGTCATTAAAAGTTCTGCTATTCATCGATAGATGGCAAAACTAAAAAGTATCACCGCTGTGCCGGTCGGATTGGCGGGTGTTAGGTTATTTTCGTTACGGAATTTCTGGATTCGGTCTCCACGCTCAAGGCCCGCGATAGAAGCTATGCAATAGCTTAAAAACCATCGGAACTCCCGGAGTGCCAATGTTTTTGTTTCTTTTTACCGAGAGTGAAGTTACCGAAGGCTCCTACCCCACCTCTAACGCTGATTCTTGAGGGATTAAAGAGCGGGAACACACTATCAATTGCAGGTGTCAGGGCGGTGGTTGTCACTTAACATCGTACGACTCGATTGCTAGTTTGGCCCCTATTCCATAAAAAAAATAGTGGAGTACTCCAGGAGTACAGACAAAAGTGAAATCTTATATACAGAGGTGTCGCCAACAATAACAGTATCGCGAGTTCAATTTTTTTTCCCATCTCAAAAAATGCCCATAAAGAAGTTTTCACTTTGACCGTGGTGTCGGTAACGGTAACAGTGGCGATTTCAATTGTCTCTTGTCTTAAAATGTGTTTTTGTTGAACAAAAAATAAATTGTTTTGTTTTTTATTCAAAAATGCCAAACGCGCCTAAAGAAGTTTTCACTTCAATAAAAACATTTTGTAACTTACATAGTGACATTTATTTTTGCAGGTGGCAATATTAGAAGCAAATTTGAAAGAGCTGAAAAAAGAATACCAGTTACAAAAACTGTCCAGTAAATCCTAGTCATTTCAAATGTTGTTATAACAATATAGGTATATAGTTAGTAGGTGCACATTAGTGTTATTGTTTATTTATCTGCTTAAGGTTCACACTTGTTAATTATTAGTATTTGATACTCTATGACGAGAATAAAACAGCATAAATTATGTCTAGTGTTTTTATTATTATCACTATTTACCACACTCTATTTTCTGTTCGGTTTTTGCCCCCCCTTTCTGCCTTCGACCCTAAATATAATACCCAGAATAATTAGTAGAGATTTGCCCCCTTTTTAGAGATTTTTGTACATTTTATGAGTTTGCCCCCCATTGTAGCATAACGACCTTTTATTAATTTTTTGTTCAAAATTGAAGTACCTGCTTAAAATATAAGGATAATATCGTTTTCTTGTAAAAACAATAAAAAAGGGACAGTAGAGGAAGTAACAAGAAAAGATGGGACAAACTCATGAAACGGGCAAAAATCGAATAAAAGTAGGAATTTCCAAAGGGGATATGGGATGGGGGATATTCCAAAGGGGGGGGGGGGCAATCCTCCAGGCTCTATACTTTACGTTACGTTACATTTAGGAACAAAGGGGCAAAAACCGAGCAGACCACTCAGTACATGGTCTTATTATAATCTCCAAATATATGAAATTACAAATTCTTTGTATTACACGATGAACTCGGCACCCGCACGGTAAATCCATGGAACGCTACTAACGACTAAATGAAACTTTAGGTGTTCAGTGACTATATACATATTTTGATCTATCACAAAATTGTTGTGGTAAAAATCTGCACACTGACGATTCAAGTTAAATTATTAGTCTTGGATATCACCGATCCCTTCAGTAGGGCCCAATAGAGGTGTACGAGACTAGACACTAGTGGTTCCATTTACATATTATAATAACATCAGACATCTCACACATGGCCGTCTGATCCCAAACTAGGCCGAGCCTGTACTATGGTAAATGACTACTGATTAATTACACCCAGATGATCGTGCTCATCACAGAATTATTTGTCCTGGTAGGGCGTAAAACCCACGACGTCTGGCTTAGCAGTGAGGGTCACGAACCACTAGACATACCCCAATATGAATGCACCGTTTACCGATTTGTTGTTCTAACTACAAGTAAATATTTGATTTAACGGTAAATCAATAGTAGAACAATTCCATTTTGTTAGCTACCGTCATGTAGGTATCTGTTTGTTACGAAATCTCATGATTTCTAAGCTTATCAAGTTTGTCTAGCTGCTTCAACATGTGCGGCCGCGTGCACAGTGCCTTCCGTATAGCTTCGTCGAGCATAATGCGCTGATAAAACGGCGGTATTGGTGTGTCCTCCAAGTGGAACGTATGAATGCGCCCCGAAGTGTCTGCAACAAACACATTGTCTCCAGGCTTCGCAAAACTGACGTATGTCAACACAACGTTAGCGGCGAACGTATACTCCGCACACGGTATGTGATTCTTTCGACGCAAGTCCCACACGGATAAAACATTACCGCTCACACAAACTATTATGGTCGCATTTATAGGACAAAATGCCACTCCATACACCGCGGATGGACATAACAACGTCATGATCACTTCATCCATACCCTCTATCCAAAGCCTTACAGCGTTATCCGCACCACAAGTTGCTAGCAAGTGTTTGTGAAAAGGGCAAATCTGTATATCGTAGATGGGACCTGCATGAGCTCGAAATACGTCAATATGCTGATTTAAATAGTGTGTCGAGCATTTGTGGATACAGCCCTCGGCAGTACCGGCAAAGTAAACATGACTTATAGTGGGGTGCCACAACATGCTGAGCACGGCCGGGTATCGCGTGATAGGCACATCATTTTTCAGACAATTTTTAGCCGTCTCTAGACCTTTAAGTTTCCCCTCCACAGTTGACACTCGCATCATAGGAGTACATAAAAATTCGTGAGTTTTGGTATTAGTAAACCGGTTTATTCTCCCGTCTTCGCAAGTTGTCATCACGTACTCGACATCTTTGTCTTCAGTGCGCCAACTAGTCACCCATATCGGATCGAAGCAAGGATTCGTTTGTCGATTACTCATTGCCATTGTTTTGACAGTATAAGATGTAATGTCTAATATCATGACGTCACCATTCCAAAAGCCACAAGCCAACCAGTTAGGGTTTTTCTCAGAGAAACGCACAGATGTTACGGGACATTCGAAGCGATACAATCTCTCCGGTTCACATGGGTTTTTTGTGCACCATACACAGACCATACCCTGTGTATTCTCAGCATATGCGAATTTTCCATAACCAACTGCTAAAATGTTAGGATTATAAGAGTTAAAAGATACGCTTGTGATTGGCCTATTTATTGTTTCTTCACATTCAAAAGTCCACAATGGTCTCATTGAATAAATATATACCAAGTCAAGAGAAAGCGGATCTATTTTAATAAGCCCACGGAACTTTTTCTGAGCATCGCCGTATTCTAACGATGCCAGTACTCGTTCTATTAAAAGCACAGCATCCAAGAATTGTGGTGTAGCTGCAATACTTTCAAAAGTCTTCCCGGTTCTATGTTCTATGACTACCGCTTTATTATTTTTCTTCCGTAAAACGGTGGGTGCTACAGATTGATACAACACCATTTCATCTTTCTTTTCTTCCTCCCGCTTCATTGCAAGGAGCGCATAAGTGTCATGCATGTCCCACATCGATGCAAATGCTATAGCATTCCTCTTTTGTGGTCTTACCGCGAGCGTATGTCTCGATTGGAGTACTTTTTCTTTTGTTTGAGTTTCTTCATGGACCATCTTTCGATTTCTTCCTTTCCCTACCGTAATGTATTCATAGTAAGTATTTTCTTCTTCAACCTGTTTAGCCTCAAACGTTCCCTTCTCGTAAGAAATACACGGCAAGTCAAATAAGAAACATGTCTGAGTTTCTTTGAGTATTACGAATATTTCTGGTGGGTAAGACGTTATGGGATTCATTTTGGGTAAATAAAACGCAGACGGTGCTAATTCCAACCCGGCGTCGTAATCTTCAATCCCCTCCTCGGTATTGAGTGTGTAATCAATATGTATGTCGTCAAGGTTAATGGTCGTCGCATACACCTTCATGCTCACGGCCATTCTAGACTTTGATTTCGCCATTTTGAGTTGTGCCTCGTCCATTATGCGAGATCTGTTTTCAAAGGCGGCGTGTTTAGCTGTTTCATCCATGTATGGGAAGCTTGGATCTGTGATATCATCTGGCGTAAGATCCTCACCGTCAAAGATAACTTTAAATAGTTTTCTCTTCTCTAAGAAAGATGGAATTTTAATTCTGCTCGATGGAGATTCGATACTACTACGATTTAGTTGCAAATTATCAAAAGTTGAAGCGGACAGAAAGAGAGATTGGTCTGGTCCCATACCATAACAGGAACGATCGACCAGTTGTGATTTTGTACTCGCCATTTTTTCGTTCGTTAGCTGAACGCCTGTTGGTTTACCGATTAATATAATTAAAAGTAATACTCAATATTGAAATTCAATGTCGGTAGTGACAGTTTTTTTTTCAATAGTTATTTAATTGGTTTTTTTAATTTATTGACTAAAAAGTAATGTATGCAATGCTAACCTTATTACTGTGTAAAATCGGTTAAACTAAAAAACATGAGTCGTTGGTTCGACTCCGCTTAGTGGAAATATTATACTAATTGTAAGTATGATTGCAATTATAAAATATATCTAAATAAGTAATAATATATCTAAATAATAATAACAATACTACACACAGCCGTGGGTTCCCAAACTAGGCACTAGCCTGTGCTATGGTATCTAGATTGCTGATGAACATACTCATATATTTGAAAATACATACGTATTTAGGTAAATTATACCCAGACACAGAAAAATGATCGTACTCATCACACAACGGGTTGGTATAGGGTGGCCCTAGATAAGACGGAGGCCCTGTTATTTCATGGGCCCCGTCGTGGTCCACCCCCTGGCGCCTCCATCGTGGTCAACTCGGTCCTCGTACCGGTTCGGGCCCAGATGAAATATCTGGGCCTGATCCTCGACGGGAGGTGGCTCTTCGACGAGCACTTCCGACAGCTTGCTCCAAAGCTGGTCGGCGCTGCGTCTGCCCTAGGGCGACTTTTGCCCAATATGGGTGGACCCAGCGTCGCGACAAGACGGCTGTACACGGGGGTTGTCCGGTCAATGGCACTGTACGGTGCACCGGTGTGGGCGGCGGCTCTGACCGCCCAGAATAGGGTACGCCTCTGGCGCCCTCAGAGGGTAATGGCGGTCAGAGCCATACGCGGTTACCGCACCGTTTCGACGGAGGTGGCGTGCGCGTTGGCCGGAACTCCCCCGTGGGATTTGGAGGCGGAAGTGCTCGCCGAAGTTTATCGGCGAGTGGCTGACTTCCGGGCGGAGAGCGGATTTCGCCCTCCGCCCGAGGATGTGCGCGAGTGGCGCGAAGCCGCTCGCCGAGCCACGATGGCTCGTTGGTCGTTCCGGCTGGAGACTCCACGCGCTGGCTTCGCCGCCGTGGAGGCTCTCCAGCCGGTCATCGCCGAGTGGGCAGGGCGGCAGCACGGGACCCTTTCCTTCCGGCTGACGCAGGTGCTTTCCGGGCACGGTTGCTTCGGGAAGTACCTGCACTCGGTCGCTAGGAGGGAACTGAGTCCCGCCTGCCACCACTGCGACTGCAGTGAGGACTCGGCCCAGCACACGCTGGCGGTCTGCCCCGCATGGGCGGCGCAGCGTCGGGCCCTCACGGCAGTCATCGGAGTGGATCTCTCGCTACCGGCCGTAGTACGCTCCATGGCCGGTAGCGACAGTTGTTTTACCGCGGTCGCAACCTTCTGCGAGGTAGTAATCTCGCGGAAGGAGGCGGCGGAGAGGGCCCGGAAGGACGACCTCCACTCGGACCCGATCCGCCGCCCGCGAACCGGGCGGCGGAGGCCCGGCTATCACAGCCTCATGCCGCCCTGAGTGTGGCCGCGGGTGGACGGGGTGGGTTTCCCCTCCACCCGCATTAGTTGGCCAGCCGCGAGGGGGCGGCGTCCGCGTGTGCCGGACGTCGCCTAAAGAGAGGAACATCCACATTGAGACGGAGCCCGCACCAGGAGCGGGCTGGCGCTAGGAGGGGTCCGGATGTCTTAACAGCAGCTGTTCCCGGATCGCTCCTGTTACAGGCGCAGAGTGGCACACCGTGTGGTTTTAGTCGGTCCGAGTCCGACACACCACCCCGCCGCAAACCCCGGAGGGGTGACGGTCCGAGGGGATTTCCACACGTTTAAAAAAAAAAAAAAAAAAAAAAAAAAGGGTTTGTTTCAAGTTTTCCTTCTATTTGCAGTGCTTTTGTCCTGAGTAGTTTTTCCCTTAGTCGGCTCTTACGACACCCACGGGATCGATGGAGTGGCGACAGCGAAGTATTTTTAATGACATGAGTGACATTACAACATGAACACATGTTTAGGAAGTTAAAGATGCATGTAATTAGTGACGCACTCAATACATATGCCTAATTCTGTTCGTATTTTATGTAAGTCTTCCACTGACTAATCAGAAACAGATTTAAAGGACTAATAAAATAGCTTCCTGATAGATTAAACTGAAGTTTGTTATTATTGTAGCAAAAGCAAATTTCTAGAAATATTAAACTCGGTTCCAAAAATAACGGGTCAGTCACATAAACCCGAATATCTCCCGAACTACGTATGCCATCCTAATGAAACGAAGACTGTTCAATTGAGAATTTAATTATACAGATAAAAAATAAAATAAAACTTAAATCTAAACTCTCTAACTCTTAACTTATCTCTAAATTAAAAAAAGAACTAAAGTAGTCATATTTTTCTTAAGATTACATTTTTTTATGATTGTTTTTTTGCTGTTTTTCATCACTTTCTTCATTTAATACTTTGTATTGCCTCCACGAGGTCTTCTGACAGCTTCCAGGCGATTAGGCATGCTGTACACCAAATTTCGGAGCCGGTGCTGAGGAAAACCTTCCCATTCCTCCACCAGTGCTTGTTTGAGCTCGGGAAGCGTGATTAGTGGGGGGTTTCGACCTTTCACGCATCTCTGAAGCTCGTCCCAGGCGTGCTCGATGGGGTTTAAGTCCGGGCTTCGCGCTGGCCACTGCATGAGTTCGATACCGACCTCTTCAAGGTAGTCATGTACAATTTTGGCGGTATGGGGACGCGCATTATCATGTATTAATATGCCATGCCGGTCAATTCTGGCCATGAAAGGACCTACATGTTCATTGAGGATCTCTTCCACGTACCTCTCTGCATTTAGAGTTCCATTTTGAATGAGTACCAGCTCGGTGCGGGCCTTAGTAGAAATCCCAGCCCAAACTTGTACGGAGCCTCCACCGTACGCCACTTTTTCCTCCACACACGCTTGATGGAAGCGCTCTCCTGGTCTTCTGTACACCAACTGCCTACCATCATGCTTATAAAGCATGAATTTAGACTCGTCCGTGAACATTACCCTAGACCAATCGTCTAGTGTCCAGTTTAGGTGCACGCGCACGTATCTCTGTCTTGCAATTCGATGTCCCCGTTCCAGTTTTCTTCGTCTTCTTACTGTTTGAGCGCTTAAATTGCCATCTCCAAAGCGAATAAAGTGAGTTTTTAGACCAACAGCAGTTTGAAAACGATTTCGGAGCATTGTAGCCACCAGTTGTCTGTCTTCCCTGGCCGTTGTGCATCTTGGTCTGCCATTTCCTGGTCTTCTAAGGTGTGATCCGGTCTCTTGGTACCGCTGGACTACCCGCTGAACAGTCGACAGAGATACACCAATGTTTCTGGCTGTTTCACGCTGGTTCCGCCCAAGTTCCAAAAAAGTTAGGATTCTGGTACATTCCTCTAGCGTGACTGCCATGCTTCACCTCACAGAATAATAATTATGCACGTGGAAGACGTTCACGATATTATTTTTTGTGACAATAGAAATGGAAAGCATCCATAATGAAATGAAGCAAAAAGGACAATGGCAGGTCCCCATACATAATTTTATTTGAACTGAAATGTTAGCGTTTAAATATCAAAAAATCCTTAACACTTGAGAATTTATTCTTGACCATTCTCATATCAAAATTACTTGCGAAAGAAGTCTAGGAAGAAAGATATTGGATTTTGAATGTTTCGAGGTTAAGTACTAACATATTGTTAATGTTTTGTTTGAAACTAGATGGCGTTGTGTGTCAGATAGCCGAAAATATTATTTTCATTATTATTACAGTATATGAAATAAAAAAAATAAAAGCATAACATCTATTCGAGTTTAACACTAAATTAAACAAAAATAAAATAACAAACGTGGTGAGTCCGGAACTCGACAGGATCTAAACGACGACGTATTGACATTTTGAAAATATCGATGTGTGTCTATTTATGTGCCGTTATCAATGACAATGTATTTTTCTCATCACACTGTGTAGTGGAAAATAACGTAACTATATTCTATTTCTTTAGTGTGTTTAAAATCGTTTAAAGAGAGTCAAAAATATTAGTAGTCAGTTATACGTGATGGCGAATCTGACATTACGTACTTAGGTCAAATAAAATCTTCAAAAATATCTTATCTCTTATAAGACTTATACAACACATGGTGGTGTAATGATAAATCATAGAAAAAAAATTGATTAAGTTTACTGTGACTCGATTTTTTAAACGTTTAAGTTTTAGGTAAATATGTTTCTGCCATTGTTCTTTTGTTTTTAAAAATAGTCATTTTTTGTAATTTTTTTTTCTAATGAAGTTTTTTTCATCAACCAGTTTAAATAATATGCTATTAGAAGCGCAACTAAAAAGTCTTTATTCTGTTTTTTGTTTCATTGATCTAACTTTTACAGTTCTGGAGGTATTTCAATTTTTGTGACTGACCCGTAATTTTGGAACCGAGTGTATTTTTGCCTTTGATGTCGAATTTTCGAAAAAGGCTAAATACGAGGAACATTTATTATTTATTTGTAAATGTTAAGTTGTTTTGTGAACGTTACAAAACTCAAAAAGTCCTGCATCGATTAAGCTCAAAGCGATATTCTTACACCACGCTTGGTTGGTTTTTATCTGTTTTTATCTATTCAATCATATCATTTCTCATCCATGCAACCACAATGTGTCACAGCAAGGCGTGGCAGGGTATTAGACATAAAAAATATTGCTACTTTTAAATCATATTCATTTGATAAAATGATTGGTTTTAGTCACAGGGATTTCGAATTTGATTGTGATTTCATGATAGACAAAGATAAATGACATTAAAATAAATCAGAATTCCTTATATCTAAGATTACGACCTTTATTTTTATTTAAACCTTTCGCGAGTCTTGCGCTAGCTAATAATAATATTTAGTCGCAGTGGTTTTGTATATCAGTCACAGGGGTGAATATATGATTTATAAATAATATGATTTATTACAAGTGATTATGATGTTATTCCATCCCTGGTACCTATTGTGTGTCCAAACCAACTAACTAACTTTGTGCGATAAGTGTGATCATTTGTTGCGTCTGGATGTAATTTAATTGTAATATACATTTATTTGGAAATATGAATTACAGGTTTTTAACCATAATGCACTACAGCGAAGCGTGACAGGGTACGGCTTGTAATGATATATATTTCTTATAGTGTATTACTAGTACTACAATCGTATATGGGTTCTGCAGAGCATATCGCACACGAGTGCAACGTTGTGCTTTACCAAGCGTGATTCCGCTCGTTCGCTTCGCTTTATTTTATCTCTACGGTCTTGATCAGTCGCCCTCCGTCACAGTGTTGTTATATACTCGTATCATTATTATAATCGTTTCTACCGCTAGAAATATTTATGGTTAGTAAATCTATTAGTGATGGCAGGTTTTTTTATTTATGTTTTTTTTTATCATTACGGAATTACTTTTTTTTTGTTCATTTAAGAACCACATACAATGTTCCAAATGAACCAATGAACCAAATACAGGACAATGTTACACTTGCCTAACCTACCCAAAATAAATGTAACAGTGCCAATTTTTTTCGTGTGGAATCCCTTGTGGGTAATACCTCACCTATCGGCGAGGCCGTATGTCGGACTCATACCGACTAAAACTATACCACCCACATAACATAAAACCACAATAACCCGACCCGCGCACGTTTTCAGTGTGTTGTCTTCCATCTAAATACAAGGAGTTAGACCCGCCGCACTCCCGTCCCGACCAGCGCCCGACCCGCACCTGCTTTATGTGTGTGTGTTGCGCTTTAGGGACCACACTTACTATAACCTACCTATACCTACTATTGAACCATCCATATTAAGCTCAAATACTAAATTTACCCAGCATTTATATAGGGGTAGGGCAAAATTGAGAAAACTAGACAAATCGACATAGATACTTTAATGGCTCCCAGTCTGGAAATTGGGCTTTTAATATTATTATTTATTACTTAGCAAAGCGTATATTAAATTATTGTTTTTATTTTAGTTTTACTAGCAGTACTGCCTAATTCAGCGCGTATAATAAAAAAAACAACGAATGGAGGGAGGGGGGGGGGGTCTTCAATTGAATGTTGCGTCATCAAATATTATTTAATGTTATTTCAGGTCCCCCCCCCGCCCCGATCGCCACTTAGCGTATCCTGGAGGCTGCCTAATAGCTAAATCATTACATGTTGCGGCCCGATCCCTTACCGCAATAATTAATCTGCCACCAGAGGTCCCCAGTTTCTGGTGGCTTGCTTCACAGAAAGAGACCACTGCGCCCCGGCCCTTCTCACTCGCCAGCGTGACAGTAATTAATGCTGGAGGAGACAGATCTCGTCCGATTCGTTAGACCAGGACCAGGACGTGTTCAGACGCCCACGATAGGTATGCTGGGCGCAGCGTATGCTCGGAGTCGTCTTCTCGTGTCCAAACCGCTTTAAGTACTCTCCGAAGCAACCATGCCCAGTGAGTACCTGCGTCAGTCGGGACGTCCTGTGACCTTCCTCCCTACCTGGGTAGGTACACTTTGAGGTTTAGCAGAACGGCACTGACCTCGCCTCCATATCCGCCAGAATATCAAAAGGCGGGAAACGTGCCAGAACTGTCGTCCCCTCAGACGAAATGGCGCGGTATCGTACGATCCGAATGGCCGCTACCCGATGCGACCGCTACCCGATGGATTGACCTTAGCTCGGCAGCTGGAGGCCGATAGGCGCTTGGCTTGGCTTGGCTCCGTAGAGGTAAAGGTACAGTAGAGGAAGCGAACTTCCTTCCGCCCCCTAGATTAGGCGACGGCCTCTGTGGGTTGCCACAAACTTGGGGCATCATTCACTTAAAATGCTCCTCGAAACTCCAGCGTGAGGGTATCCAGGGTGAGGCGGAGGTAATTGATGTGCCGGTCGACCAAGGAGCTCTGTAACCTTCACTCTAATAAGCAAGTGGGTGAGCACTGCACCTCTGCATTTTATGTGGAACCACAAGGATTTCCTTAGAAGTGGTGATAAGGTGCTATCCTTAGACCAAGACCGTGTAGACCAAGACATAAACGACCTCATGGAAGCCATGCACCCCAGCCAGTACCAGAGCGTCGTCCGCGTAGTAGATGACATTCATTCCTGAGGGAATACTGGTATTCAGGATAGCATCATACGCGAGGTTGGTCCTAAGGCCAACCCCTGGGGAACCGTGCATGTGACCTGCCTTCGACATTCTTCGTCATCCCGTGCCATATACGATATGGACCTGTCGCGGAGATTAACTTCGATGACGGCCTGCAGGTGGCAACTGGTAATCCACCAGTGCCTCCGTAACCGCCCACATTGGGAGGGATTAAAGATGTTGATTGTGTCAAGACTGACGGCCAATGTAACTCATCCCCCGAATTGCAATGAAATCTGTACTCCATAAAATGTTTAAAAAATTTAATCACGAAAAAAACGGGTGGAAGTCAGGGTCGAGGTACGCCCATGCTATTTATTACTGTTATATGCATCGGAATATGAAATTATATTTTTTTCTAAAATCTAAATAATTTAAAATTACTTTTAATTATAGTTATTTCACTACAATTACTGTTTTAGAGCGTACGTAATACTTTTTTTGGTCCAATAAATTTGAGATACCACGTCTGTTACGTAATATGTTATGTAATGCACGCGTTTTATTATTAGCTACAAATTCAACGTAACACAGAAGTCATCACACATCATCAACAGCCTATACTAGTCCACTGCTGGACATAGGCCTCTCCTTAGAAAGGAGGTTTTTGGCCTACTATACCACGCTGGCCAGACGGGTTGGTATAGGGTTTGTTTCAAGTTTTCCTTCTCTTTGCAGTGCTGTTGTCCTGCTTAGTTTGCTCCCTTAGTCGGCTCTTACGACACCCACGGGATGAATTGGGGTGGTGACAATTTGTATTCTTAATCCGTCACCACACGGACAAACACAGAAGTAGTGATATTTTAAATTGTAGAAATTATTCAACGGCACTTGAACTTGGATATCTAATTCTATAGATCGCCATTGTCTGTACTGAAATTCTTTCGGTTACCACCCACTGGTGGTTAAGTCGGCCTCGAACCGACCAAAAACCACACGCTGTCTCGTGTACCAGTAGCTGGGGAACCAGGTGTACCCTAGGAAGGAAATTACTGGTACGCTGCCAACAACACTACGATTGTAATTGAATGGATGTTCGATTGTTAAGATTCTGTCCACTGCTGGACATAGGCCTCTCCTTAGAAAGGAGGTTTTGGCCTACTATACCACGCTGGCCAGACAGGTTGGTATAGAGTTTGTGTCAAGTTTTCCTTCTTTTTGCAGTGCTGTCCTGCGTTGTTTTGCGCCCATAGTCGGGTCTTACGACACCCACGGTATGAATTGGGATAGTGACATTCCGTATTCTTAATCCGTCACTACACGTATATAATATTAATAGATCTTAAAGTTGCTGAGTACAAGGGACAGTCTAATTAAGGAGCGATTTAGGTGTAAAAGAAATATTTGGAAAGAATTATTGACGGAAGTTAGTAAGAAGTAAATAGATTTCTGTAATACTATGTTACATCTAATTTAGGTGCTTGTAATCACTTTCTAAGTTACATATGTGATTCTAGCATTGCGTCAAAATTCGACAGGATGCTGACAACTTCCCTCGTCACAGGTGGACAACACAGTTCAGAGGCTCTTGACTTGGTACATAGACGAGGTTATGACATCGAGCTTAGATGACAATAGATCGGTAAACCTCAGCTCATAGGTAGTTAAGGATGTCTTAGTCTAGAAAGATAATTTGCTAACACGAATTTCATGTGGTGTGACAATTATGCATGATCATATTTTAGTATGTATTAAGTAAATGCTAACGCTTTGGGTTACTCAACAACAGCTTTAATTTTTTTGGCAAATTTGAACTCTAAAATTGACTGATTACAATAATATTATACTGATATTTTGTTAGTTAATTAATTACTAAGTATAGTTATTATTGGATATATTATTGGATATTGGACTCCACCTTAAAAAAAATCGTTTATATCGGTAAAAAAATCATAATAGTTTGTTTAGAAGTGTGCCAATAAACGAGAGAAAGCATTCTCAGTTGGAAAAAAGATATCTAGTTAAACAGACATCTTGAATGCATTTCCTTCTTATTGCTAAAGAACGACAGTCCCAAGCAAGACAAAGACGAGTGGGTAGGTCAGAGCCTTACCGCAATCAATGGTTAGTCACCAATGTTTGCAAAGGAGCGCATCCATACCATATCAGGAGTACGTGCATTAAAATGTACGTAAGTTTATCCACCCCGCAACGCTACCGGCGCGTGCGCAGCCGACCGTGACACCTACTCGGTGCTGTTCAGCATTAGTGTCGCGGGCGCGTGCCGGGACACTACATAACACCTGGCTGGAGTCCTCCACAAACAAGACATAGCAGGAATCGAAGGAGAGTGAAACAGAGTTGTCAAAAAATCAAAATGAAAAGGATCTTCCATAAACTAAGAGAGAGTGAGTATGAAAATTGTGATCGTTGATATAATCTTTGTTATTCCACGATAGAAATGTTTTTGTATACAAATTAGAAAATTAATGTATCCGATGATTTACTCGCATTTAAATAGCGACCCCTTCCGTTTTGCTACGATTTTTTTTGTTACTCTAATTAGACTCAAGTTTTTAATTAAAAAAACGTCGTTAATGCCGTTTATTTGATAATCAACTCAAATATAGGCTACTACGATTACAAACGCATCAATATGGCCTTACTGCAATATATGAGACTTAGTCCAGCACAGGCAAAAAAATATAGGACAACAAATTCTAAGAACTGTATGGGGTTCAAATTGTTTTCGCTTAACCATGTAGCGCGTAAATTAATCGTCTTCATGGCTAGTTTCCGATGGTCGTCAACAACAAAAGCATTACGAAGCTAAACAGCACCATCGGGTATCAGATAGTAGAGCGCGGGTTAATTTCTACTCACCGCCTACCTTTCGTCGAAGCATGAGTCGATGAGAACATGCGTGTGCGCATCGATACACACTGTATCGTAATTGCATCTACTTAAAAGAATGTAATAATAAAACTCGCTGAACCCGTGGCATATGGATATTTGAACCATGTAAAAACTATCATCATAAATCGCTACAGTTAATCTTTTAATTATTTTGTAAGCTTGTAAAAGTACCACAAGATCCTTCGTGCTCTCTAATAGATGTAATTTCACAATCGCTTAAAATATCCCTGTGCACTTTTGAACATTTAACTTTAGTACTTCGGGCAATTTGGACGTCATGAACAAAAAATACGTTTAAACATAATTTACGAAAGTAGGTGAGATCGTGTTGCAGAGTGATTGCAGTTTCAAAATTGTTCCGCTGGGCCGTCACCGCGATAGGACGAATGTCCACGAGAGGCGCGGGCGAGGGTCGAGAGGTCGTGAGCGCAGACGCGCTCCGCCCCCCTAATTGCCGCGCCCCACGCAAATAAATAATTTTTATCCACTGCGTCGAGATCACGCTCCTTCTTGACCTTAAATTATTGTACGTAAGGTCTTTTTTGTGAATTTTAATCACCAGGGTTGCTGGAATTCCGTATGGATGCCGAAAAGCAGCCGAGCGATGATCGAGTTTCATGATACCATCACTATGCCGAATTGTTAATGCTACGTTTGAAACTGGGAATAGATGTAATAATTTAACGTTTGCGGTTGAAGATACTGTAATATTTTCTTTGAATAAAAATAGCAGGTATCATTTTACTAACCAGTATTTAGGAGTTGTAAAACAAATGACGAGATCATTTGAAGAAATGACAGAGCACAGCGTTTGAACCATGTAAATATTGCGTCTAAACAAATTACGTTCCCTGTAAAGACAAATGATTCGAGATTTTGAAATCCGATATCGATAGCAGCGTGGCTAGTGAGTTAGACTCAAGGCAAAGAGACAGGCCCTAATGGCCCTAATGGTCACGTCCTAATGGTTAGGTTTGACATCGTACGTCGGAAACAAGTTGCTTTCGGTTTATGTGCTACGGTCAAACTCAGTGACGTAATTAATGAACTGAATTTAAGCTTATATATAGCTAAAACACTATTGAACAACAGATATTCCATATAATAAATGAAAAATAACATGTCATGTTTTCCAAACGAATAGTGGTCTTGAAAGAATTTGCGAATGTTTCTGTCTATAGGTCTACAGGGTTATATTTACTATCTTAGAATCGTTAACGAAATTGGTACCAGTTGTGTAATTAGCACATGGGCAAAAGTAAATTAAAAAAAAATCTAGATCAGAATTATTTCATTATCCAAACTTCTGCGTAACAATTGAAAATGAGGCGTTGACTTGTTTTACTTTTAGTAAATCTAAAACCATTTTCTTAAAATATTATCATTTATTTATTTCATTATGTAAGTACATGTATATTCTTATTCAGTTATTTAATGTTATTCAGTTATTTAATACCAACAAACATTACCGGAACGATTGCAGTTTGCAAATTATCACAATATTTGCGTACCTAATTGTCAAATCACCAAAGCAAATTGCGTGGTACTGAATGTTGATTACCATTACTGTATGGTAAACTTCGTAATAAAGGTACGTAGTTACGTGTTCATTCTGTAAAGATGTCACCAATCATCGTCTGAACCCAACGGGTGTCCGAAACGAATCGCTAGCTAGTATCTGTGATTACTTATTCGTCATACTATGTTTTGCTGGTTTTGCGACATTAGGAAAGCTTTCTACTAACCCCGTCACTTTCTATTGTAAGTTCACCATTATTTGGCTAATCTCAATAACTATTAATATAAAAACATTCGGAGTCTTACTTTCTTCCGCAAAACCAGTTTGCCAGACGACGAAATATGCGTTGTAGATGAACGTTGGCCAAAACGGTGTTATTGTTTATCTATTTGAAACATTAATTTGATGTTTAATTAAATTATTTGTATGTTTTAAAAAACAAACATTTATCTCTATTTTTTAAGTCGTCAGTTTGGATCAATTATCTACTATATTCGTGTGCATATTTAGGTTCGTTCTTAGGGAGAATATCGAGGATACATAGGGTTATTACAGGATGCACACAATGCGTTATAAGTGCAGGTGTTTCTACGTTATGCTGGTAGGGTCGCCACCTTTCCATTTTACTAGAATACTGCCCCGTTTTTAAGACATTTCGTTTATTAATAGTAGGTATGGAAAACAAAAAAAAACTGTTTTTGTTACTTATTCTTTATTTTTGTATAAACCTCCTAGCAATAATATTTTTTATGATTTTATAAATAAATCCCATATATTTTTAAATATTGTTGGCGACCCTGACCATGGGCAGTGAGCGATGAGCGCAGGACGTAGTAATGCGCCCGCGCAGCAATTTTACCTTTTCGCCGATTGTGGCGTGCAATGCGATGTAGGTGCATAGGGGAGGTACTGCCTGCATAATCATCGCTCACTAATTACTTATTTAAAGGGCATGTTGTTTTATTTTTAATGAAATAATATGTGTCTTTCTTGTGTCTTCCTTTCTTTATAAAGCATGTTATGTTATGGTATCTTCCTGCTTGGTAGTTTTAAATGTGGTTGCATCATTCTTTTGTTTGACCGAATTGCATCTAGGTTTATGGTTCTATTAGTTATAAGGGAGTAAAGTCTTCGAAGAAACCAAAAGATTTTACATATCGATAATTTTTAAGTTTAAGTTGGTGATATAGGCTAATATGTATCTAAATTAGTTAGCTAGTGTGTAGTTAGCTAATTAGATGTGCAGCAATTATTTAAAAACAAAAGTTTATTGACTTCTCTAGAGATTTCTGCGAGGTCTCGATTTCTGATCAGGTCGTAGTTCACTAAGTTACAGGGGGGCGGGACGGTTTATTCTTTGTTTTTCAGTCCAAAGAGGTCTGTCTATAGGTTTCCACTGCTGGTTGCGGCCTGTTACTTGAGCCTTCAGCTATCTAAAAATTTAAGCTAATACGGAAAAAAAATTGCTATAGTAAAAATTACCTTTAAAAAAAGTTTGACTACCTTCAATGAATTGTAAGAAACTGTACTCTATTTTATTTAATTCACCATCAGCCTATCGCAGTCCACTACTGGACATAGGCCTCTCCCATTGCACGCCACTTAGATCGATTTTGGGCGTATTTAATTCTCGACCCTAAAGTATATTTTTTTTGTTATATACCCTCCTCCCAAATAAAAACAAAGTATTTTCTAAATCGGTGCAATGATGGTGCTCCGATTCAAAAAACAATCATAAAAAAAAACAACGGAATTGAGAATTGCTCATTAAATTGAAGTCAGTTAAAAATGAACGACGAGTACACTACCAAATTAGAACTTACTTTTTCCAATACAATAACTAACGTAATAAAATAATATAGGTACACCATCAAATTATAGGTACAGGTCAAAATAAGAAATAATACCCATATCGATGCTAATAAATTACCACACGGAATGATTGCGTCACAAGTCACAACATAAAGATTATGAATTATATAAACTTATTTTCTAATGTAATACTTTCACTAGATTCCAAATCAAAATCTAGGCGTCGCTCGGTATTCTTTTACTAGATATCTTTATAAAAATACTATAATGTTAATCCTTTTAGGTAAGTTAAATTGTTATGGTAAGGGTTCGATCGTGTTGATATATATTAATTGGGATCGCAGTAGACACATCAGCGTCAGACGGCATTTACCGATCTTCCACAACTCAGGAAGTTTTAAGGAAGTCATCATCCGAATAGATACGGGCTTAAATGCGACCCATTGTGATGTTGTACCGGGTGAAGGGATCAGTCTTGGGCGAGACAGGCCAAATATTCTCGCTCCCTTGATCATAGGCAAGCAGTGGAAAACCAGGGTGGTTTTTAGTCGGTATTAGTCCGACAGACTCCTTCTTCCCCTAAGGACGGAGGATATCCACCTTCATCCAGGATCTACATAAATACTGTTTGGGGATTGAATTATCGATAAGCAGAGCTATGCTGGATTAGAAATTATGTCACATTATAGAGGAGTTACTACCGTTAACTTAATGCGGTCTTGATACTTATATTTTGAAAATTAGTACCTTTTAAGCTAACAAATAATAAGATTTAATAAACACATCGATTCTGAATAATGTTTATTCAATGATAGACTTTTCACAAAGTCCACCATTTTAAAATAAAAATGGGAATTGCAGTTTTTTATAACAATTTATACAATAATTTTGCAAATTTACTTCACTCTTGAGATCATAATTATCATTCAGTGAAATGTACCTGTACCTGCAATGCCTAATACAAAGTACAGAAACAAAACACAACTTAAACTGTCTGACTATACCGTATATTTCGTTGCTGACGCTCCATAATGTTCGGACGCGTTCCCACGATGCAATTATCGGTTACCTTCACTTACCCTTAATTTGTGCCTGCCCTCGTACCACTTCAACACTGATTCTGACGAGAATACACGAATTTCACTCACGGTCAAGGACCCA